GGCAAAAGTAGTAGCTTACAATAAGGGAAAAACTCCAGGTAAAAAAAACATTTGTATCTAGTCCTTGGCCCATATCCTAATCTGACTTTGGTGCAGGTCATGTTGTTCTTCACATTACCGTCTCTGGTAAACAAACACTATATCAAATATAATCTAAGTTTATTTGTCACATGCACAGGATACAGAAGCTGTAACACTACAGTGAAATGGTTACTTGCGTAGTAGCAATATCAAAAACAGAAAGTGTCCAGATAAAAGTAATGTATAAATATTTTATCATTATTAGATTACGCTTACCCAGACACACTTGTCTAAATTGATGGGTCATGTGAAATAAATGATATAACCACCCCCCAGCCACATCTAGCTAAGTGGATGGGTCACTATTGTCTAGACATGTACACATGTTCATGAAATACAATAGATGGCCGTAATCACCCCCAGACACACGAAGTGGAGTCTTTTGTTTAGACATGTAGCTAGCTAGGTAAACAATTAACCGGCATAATCCCAACTCATACTACTACCAATGCAAACATTGTCATAGCTGTAGTATGAATCTGCAGGTAGCTAACGCTAACCAGTTAGGTTCAATGTTAGCTAACTAACATTAGGCTATAACTAGCAATGCAAATTAATTTCTGATTCTAATAATATTGCTACACAGATCATACATGTAATGTTAGCTATCGAGCCAGCAAGCTAATGTTCGCTAGCTAGCTAACAGTACGTTTTAACTTGCAAACGACTTTTGGACAAAATTTGAAACATATAATATCTGAAAATGTAGCTAGACTCTTACCCGTATACATGGATGAACGCTTCATGGCAGACTGGAACCATGTAACTCAGTTTTGTTTGTAGCTACAGTGGGGAGAACAAGTATTTGATACACTGCCGATTTTGCAGGTTTTCCTACTTACAAAGCATGTAGAGGTCTGTAAGTTTTATCATAGGTACACTTCAACTGTGAGAGACGGAATCTAAAAAAATCCAGAAAATTACATTGTATGATTTTTAAGTAATTAATTTGCATTTTATTGCATGACATAAGTATTTGATCACCTACCAACCAGTAAGAATTCCGGCTCTCACAGACCTGTTAGTTTTTCTTTAAGAAGCCCTCCTGTTCTCCACTCATTACCTGTATTAACTGCACCTGTTTGAACTCGTTACCTGTATAAAAGACACCTGTCCACACACTCAATCAAACAGACTCCAACCTCTCCACAATGGCCAAGACCAGAGAGCTGTGTAAGGACATCAGGGATAAAATTGTAGACCTGTACAAGGCTGGGATGGGCTACAGGACAATAGGCAAGCAGCTTGGTGAGAAGGCAACAACTGTTGGCGCAATTATTAGAAAATGCAAGAAGTTCAAGATGACGGTCAATCACCCTCGGTCTGGGGCTCCATGCAAGATCTCACCTCGTGGGGCATCAATGATCATGAGGAAGGTGAGGGATCAGCCCAGAACTACACGGCAGGACCTGGTCAATGACCTGAAGAGAGCTGGGACCACAGTCTCAAAGAAAACCATTAGTAACACACTACGCCGTCATGGATAAAAATCCTGCAGCGCACGCAAGGTCCCCCTGCTCAAGCCAGCACATGTCCAGGCCCTTCTGAAGTTTTCCAATGACCATCTGGATGATCCAGAGGATGAATGGGAGAAGGTCATGTGGTCTGATGAGACAAAAATAGAGCTTTTTGGTCTAAACTCCACTCGCCGTGTTTGGAGGAAGAAGAAGGAAGAGTACAACCCCAAGAACACCATCCCAACCGTGAAGCATGGAGGTGGAAGCATAATTCTTTGGGGATGCTTTTCTGCAAAGGGGACAGGACGACTGCACCGTATTGAGGGGAGGATGGATGGGGCCATGTATCGCGAGATCTTGCCCAACAACCTCCTTCCCTCAGTAAGAGTATTGAAGATGGGTCGTGGCTGGGTCTTCCAGCATGACAATGACCCGAAACACACAGCCAGGGCAACTAAGGAGTGGCTCCGTAAGAAGCATCTCAAGGTCCTGGAGTGGCCTAGCCAGTCTCCAGACCTGAACCCAATAGAAAATCTTTGGAGGGAGCTGATAGTCCGTATTGCCCAGCGACAGCCCCGAAACCTGAAGGATCTGGAGAAGGTCTGTATGGAGGAGTGGGCCAAAATCCCTGCTGCAGTGTGTGCAAACCTGGTCAAGACCTACAGGAAACATATGATCTCTGTAATTGCAAACAAAGGTTTCTGTACCAAATATTAAGTTCTGCTTTTCTGATGTATCAAATATAGCAAATTAATTACTTTAAAATCATACAATGTGATTTTCTGGATTTTAGGAAAACCTGCAAAATCGGCAGTGTATCAAATACTTGTTCTCCCCACTGTACATCTTGTTTGGCCAGCATTGTGTAAAGTCACTCCGGTTCACACTGACCGTGCCGTGCGCAGAAAGCAGCCCATCACAACTTTTTCCAACTGATCTGTCGATAGCGCCTGCTAAATTCAGGGCATCAATGTTGTTGAGAAAAGTAGCAAAACTTTGGTAGTTCTCGATGGCTAACGTTATATCTTTCAGAAATGCTGCGGTAGAAAGGACTATCAACACTGAGCAGCTCACATTATAGACAGAAGCGTGCTACATGGCAGACCAATCCAAACTCATCTCCCGGCATGTCCAGCCCATCTATTATCTCAGCCAATCATGGCTAGTGGGAAGGTTCCTATCTTTTTCCATGGCTAAACCAACTAGCCTGTTTTTAGAGAATTGTATTTAACCTGTTCATAGTAGTTTCCAGGAAGAAAGAGAATGCAGTTTTGTCTCTAGTCTTGCGTTCCAAGTCTTGAACGTGAGGAATCCTGGAAGTCCAGGTTCCTCTTTTTCTAGGTCCTGCATCAGAAACGTTACTGCCTTTTCATGAGAGCCAGTGGCCTTACATACATTAAGTGTTATCCAGCTTTTTAATGGTTACTAGAATGTGTGTTATTTTTATAACACTGAAGCACGAGCAGCACTGTGGTAATATGGAGCCAGACGTTCCTTTTCCCCTGTTCACTCTCACTCTCTCCCCCTGCTAATAATATTGAGTGTATTCTAGAAAAGTTTTCAGTGTTCTATCTCGGGGTGTCCCTGACCCAAAAGAAATCGACTGGTCGAAATGTTTAAAATTGTATTTTTCCACGTATAGACACACCCTATGTGTTTTAATAAAATAAACTATATGTAGGCTACTGAGCTTGTCTGATGCTTTAAGCACTGTAATTAAATAATTAAGACACAAATTACTCAAGAGGGAGCCAGAGATCAAGAAAAAAACCTGTTTTCCGACCTCACGCTGCTGCTGGCCTTCACAGATTCTGCCATTACACTCCCGAAGTTGCTGGTAATACATTTTACATTTTAGTCATTTAGCAGACGCCCTTATCCAGAGGCTACACCAGGGGTCGGCAACCTTTTCTATTTGGAGTGCCAATTTATCTTACCATTTCTGATCTGCGTGCCAGTTATAATGTTCATATGAACATTTTCGCTGAACAGTTTCATTTATTTTATAATAAAGTCATCCTATCTAAATCTAAATGAAAATTATACATATCTAAACGTAACTTCTGCCATTGCCAACTATGTAAAAATAGCCTACATAAAGCCAACAAATAAATACATTGCAGCCTGCAGGTAGAAAATGTCCTGATAAAAATAAATCACATTGACTACGCATGGCCTGTCTGCAAGGAACTCAAAACATTGTATCAACTATCAACTTAGTCCAGCCTGAAGCTTGTACAAACTTCTGCCAGTGAGTTCCGGACAGACACAGCTGTAGGCTATTTGCGCAAGGGATAAGTCATGGTTAACACCGAGTGGTGGTTATCGAAAGGAAGAGAACTGGAAAGATTTTTCAAATAGGCTACATTGAGGAGCTATTGTCATTCTCAATGGATGTAAAAACAGACTTAGTTTACTTGCTGGTTGAGGTGAAGAAAAAATTACTTTGAGAAGCTCCACAACTTATTAGTGGTGGTGAGTTAAGACAATCAGAAATACTATCAGACATCCCCAAATAAGCCTACAGTTGCGGGCAGGCCAGGTAGCCTAGCCTTACTTCTATGCGTAATCAGGTGCGCGTCCTTACTCAACATTGACAGGAGCGCTCCAAACAAAACACAATGAATAAATTGACAACTCGGAAATGGAATGAAATAAACCAAAACTTGTTTCCCACAGGTGTAGCCTAGGTTGTGCGCTCTGCAAACAACGTGTCCACTCCGACAATGAGAACTGTAAAATACTGTAATAATAATATATTGAATACATTAACAGAAATTACGGTAACCAAACAAACATTGTAGATTAGAAATTATGGGAATTAACGTGTGAATTGGTGTGCTATCCCCACGTCCTCCACAATGGATTAGTCCACTCAGACAGGCGTCAATCAAGACATGCCATAATGTTTTTTGTTTTGTTTTAGAACTGCTCGACTAAAAAATGATCGGCCGACCAACAGCCTATCGACCAAATAGTAAACTAAATGGGGTCAGCCCTAGTTCTCTCCATATCATCTGCCGGGCACTGAAACCTGGAACATTGGAGAGTTTCAAATGAGTTTCACCTTGACAATCTGTGAGAATACCAGGATATGACACACATGTTGGATGACTAGAATGTAGTAGTTGATATCAGTGCCCATATAACTAACATGGGCGTCTAAAACAAGACATTTAGTGTCATTTTGAGTGTTTTTTTGTGGCACACTAACATCAGTTACTATAGTAAATTGTGGTCCTTCTGCTGATTCACTCTCCCGCCATGCTGTCAGTAGACCATCATCATCACCTTATAGCCTGTCAGTATGCACCCCTCCACAGGCCTGAGGACAGGTGTACTGCCCTCCCTCCCTCCCAATACAAGGCTGGTGGCAGCGGCCTGTGGTCTGTGTGATTCTCCCTCCCCTCCCCCTGTATGAATGGAGGTCATTGTATGGGCAGGCTTTTTCTCCCATTGCAGTCAGTGGGCTCTGTGTCTGCTGAAGAGAGGCCTGTGTCTGCTGAAGAGAGGCCTGTGTCTGCTGAAGAGAGGCCTGTGTCTGCTGAAGAGAGGCCTGTGTCTGCTGAAGAGAGGCCTGTGTCTGCTGAAGAGAGGCCTGTGTCTGCTGCTGCTGCTGCTGTCCACTCCATGAGGGTCAGAGAGGGGGCGGAGCGGGAGGAGATGGAGAGAGGGAGCAGAGAAGATGGAGAGAGGAAGGCAGTGGGACAGAAAAGCCAGTGTTCCACTCTACCAGAGAAAGAGAGAAGGGACAGACCCCAAGGGCTGGTGTCTCTCTCTCATTCTTTCATTCTCTTTTCCCCCGTTCTGTTTCCCTCCCCTCTTTTTCTGTCTCTAGTCTTGCGTTCCAAGTCTCGAACGTGAGAAATCCTGGAAGTCCAGTTTCCCCTTTTTCTAGATCCTGCATCAGAAACGTTACTGTCTTTTCATGAGAGCCAGTGACCTTACATACATACATACATTAATAAGTGTTATCCAGGGCAAGCCTTTAATGGTTACTAGAATGTGTGTTATTTTTATAACACTGAAGCACGAGCAGCGCTGTGGTAATATGGAGCCAGACGTTCCTTCTCCCCTGTTCACTCTCACTCTCTCCCCCTGCTAACAGAATGGAGTGCATTCTTCTCTGAGCAGAGAATTCTGCAGGCTCACGCCACGGGTTTGGTTTACACTCCACTAATAAATAACTATTATTGCCCTATGACAGCCCCTCTATACCTCTTTGGTTTAATATAATAACTAGGGAATAAAAACAGTGTGTTGGGATGATTTAGAAAGCACACAGCTTGGTCAGATACACCCAGAGCTCTGCTGCACATTGTGATGTATTGTAAGAGTGTTATGACCATTGTGGGGGTGGGTGACTGTAAAGTGGTTGAATAGAGAAGTGGTTGTGTGGAGAGAGAAGTGGTGGGGATGTTGAATAATTAACCAGAGGCATTGACTGCAGAGTTCTAGCCTCCCTTTCTCTGAGTTCTAGTCTCTTGTTTCACTCTGTCAACAGTTTGTCTGAGCCGCTGGTTACAGCACTATGAGCAGTCCAAGACACAGAGAATGGGGCGATGGGTAGGTGACCCCTCAGATACAGCCACAACCTTAATGAGTGTTGCCACCAGGCACAGACACTGTCTGGAATGATATAGAGAGAAATAGTAATGGCGTCTTTTTGTAGGCACTAACTCCGCCATGGTTCGTTGGATGAATGGTGTTTTTGTAGGGTTTTTGGATAAACACCGAAAATAGGGTCTATGGTAAATACAGGATTAGGAGATCTTATAAATGTTGTTCTATGAGATAATCAGCTAACATCACTTTTTGTGAATTTTGACGCATTTATGTGATTAAAAAGGCTTTATTATTCATAAAGGTCATGTTAACTGACTGCTATTATCTCATAGAACAAAATGTATAAGATCTCCTAAACCTGTGTTAACCTCAGACCTTACTTCCAGCTTTTATCCCAAAACCCTTTTCTTTCCTATTTCATTTTCCCCATAGGAATGGCTGAACGAACCAGAGGTAACTCATATCCGGTTATTAGGACTACAAGCTGGTGAGCTCTATAGGGACATCTATATGGGAAAGAGCATCCCTGTCTGAGAACATGATATGGGAATATGATAGCCATGATGTCATAACTGTAATTTGACTCCATCTAGAAGGAGGGTGGTATTACTGGCATGCAGCACATCGCTTATCATGGTACACAGTGACATACGTGACATGCTACACCATTTTATGTAACTCCAGCAGTAGCAGTGCTCAGCTCATTATTTTTGTCAGCTACTCCCTGTCAGAGTAACCTATGGAGATGACAGATGGTTGCCTACCAACACCTTAACGCCTCCCCACTCTTCCACCCAACAGCTTTCCATCCTACCCTTCACCACACTAACCCCTACCACCCTACTTCCTCTCTGCAGCCTTCTATCCTACCACCTTCTACCCTACTCCCTCTGCAGTCTTCCATCCTACCACTTTCCACCCTACCCTCCAGTCTTCCATCCTACCACTTCCCCTAGTCCCTCTCTGCAGTCTTCCATCCTACCACCTTCCACCCTAGTCCCTCTCTGCAGTCTTCCATCCTACCACCTTCCACCCTAGTCCCTCTCTGCAGTCTTCCATCCTACCACCTCCACCCTAGTCCCTCTCTGCAGTCTTCCATCCTACCACCTTCCACCCTAGTCCCTCTCTGCAGTCTTCCATCCTACCACCTTCCACCCTAGTCCCTCTCTGCAGTCTTCCATCCTACCACCTTCCACCCTAGTCCCTCTCTGCAGTCTTCCATCCTACCACCTTCCACCCTAGTCCCTCTCTGCAGTCTTCCATCCTACCACCTTCCACCTTCGACCCTAGTCCCTCTCTGCAGTCTTCCACCCTAGTCCCTCTCTGCAGTCTTCCATCCTACCACCTTCCACCTTCCACCCTAGTCCCTCTCTGCAGTCTTCCACCCTAGTCCCTCTCTGCAGTCTTCCACCCTACTACCTTCCAGGTTTCCACCCTCCCCTCCACAGCCTTTGATGAATTAGGCCAATTCTCTCACTGCTGTGTCCGATCACAACCAGATTAGTCTTCCTCAGCACTGCTGCGTGTCATGCTGGGGTTATTTTTCTCCCTGTGTGTGTGTGTACAGTGTGGACTATGTGTGTACTGTGTGTGTGTGTGTGTGTGTGCGCACTCCGTGGTGGGCTGGAGAGGGAACAGCCATCTCTGGCGCTGCTGGCCAACTCAAACAAACCACAACACGCTGGCAGTTCGAGAGTGAGAGAGTGTGTGTGTGTGTGTGTGTGAATGTGAGTGTGTGTATGACTTTGAGTATGACTGTGTGTGTATGACTGTGTGTGCGAGCTCCCGGCCGTTTCCTACAGCCAGCTCCAAAAATAACCCCTGCTAACAATATTTAATCCCCGGGCTGCCCTCTCTCTGCTGGGGTGAGTGGGGAGGTGATTGGGGAGGTGATTGGGGAGGTGCAGGCAGGTGGAGATATTGTTCAAATTCAGACTTAGCTGGTAATCTGGGTGGAGGGGTTAGCGCTACCCTAGCATGGACCAGGGGCTGATGGATGAAGAGAGGGGGAGAAGGGGCAGAGGGGTGAGGAGAGGGAGAGGGGGGAGAGGTGAGGAGGGTGAAGTGTCTCCTACATAGTAGATTGACTGATCCTGAACATCTCCTCTCCAACTGCCATGTTAAACCTTTAATCTCTCACTCCGTCACTATGGGAGATTCTCATTTGGGCAAAAAACAGTCCTCTCTCCTCCGTCCTCTCTCCTCCATGACACAGAAACCAATAAGTGGTTGAGTGGTCGAGGGGTGTGTAATTTCGTTAGTAGGCAAATGGAAGTGTCATCCCCTCCTCGATAGCCATCTTTCATCAAGGATACTCATGTGTATCCTGCCGCAGAAGAGTTATGAACTCTGCCACACCCCCTTTGAAATCTGCCACACCCCCTTTGAATCAGCTTTTGTTTTGTCAGAGGAGAAAAACATGCACACGTTTAAAAAACGATATGCTACTTGTATTATTTATAAAATGTCTTGCACAACTAACTTAATTTGTTTTGAGCACTTTCCACATTTATTTTGGGATCCACTCCTGTAAACGCCATTTATTTTGGGATCCACCCCTGTAAACCTAATTTATTTTGGCATCCACCCCTGTAAACCTAATTTATTTTGGCATCCACCCCTGTAAACCTAATTTATTTTGGGATCCACCCCTGTAAACCTAATTTATTTTGGGATCCACCCCTGTAAACCTAATTTGCCTAATGACGCGCGAGTGGAGAAGGAGCGGTTCATTTCAAGCAGAGAGCATTTCCATCCACGTTCCCTCTCCTCGCCGACTCCCCTCAATTACCTTTGACCTTTTTCAAAAGGAGGCGAGGGAGGACGGAGCAGAAAGGATGCAGGAGGTGAGCAAATCTAATTGATAAAAGGCCCGTGTGACAACACAGATCACCTTCTAATGGTTCCCTCATCAACTGGCATTGGCCTAGCCTAGCTTGGTACCAGATCAGGTCTGTAGTCTATGTGCTTTGGCTTAAAACTGAAATCTGCACAAGGGGAAACTGTTCGCCCCCAGCACATTTGTTATTGTTTTTGTTTTGTTTAGAGAGGAGCATCCAGCTTCGTGTAAAAAAAGAAATCACAGTACATACTACATACTCTGCTGTTCTATCACATGTGCAATGATGTCAAATGATATTGTATTGGTCACATACACGTGTTTAGCAGATGTTATTGCGGGTGTAGCGAAATGCTTGTGCTTCTAGCTCCGACAGTGCAGTAATATCTAAGTAATATCTAACAATTTCACAACATATAACCAATACACACAAACCTAAGTAAGGAATTAATTAAGAATATATACATATATTGACAAGCGATGTCAGAGCAGCATGGACTAAGATACAGTAGAATAGTATAGAATACAGTATATAAATATGAGATGAGTAATGCAGATATCTAAACATTAAAGTGACTAAGATACCGTAGAATAGTATATAATACAGTATATACAGTACATATGAGATGAGTAATGCAAGATATGTAAACATTATTAAAGTGGCTAGTGTTCCATTTCTTAAAGTGGCTAGTGATTTGTGCAATGATGTGCAATGAGGTAAAAAATCAGTGTTGGTTGTTTGAAGAGACTTCTTTTTTGTTGTAATATCACAAACGGATGTGGCAGTTTCACTATTACGGATTCCAGCTTTAAGCCAACTCCTCAGCTCTGACTACGGTTGCTATGTAGTCAATGTATGTTGGCTAAAACTATGCTAGGCTAATCTCTGTGTGTAACTGCTGCTTTCTGTAACCATTAGAATCTCCCTTTATCGTGGACTGTTGTCATCCTCCTGACTGCATGCCTTATTTGACTGTAGATACAGCACAGTAGGTCAGGTTGGAGCAGAGATGGCTGTTGTCGTTGTTGTCGATGTGCATTGTGAGACTGAGGTCAAAGAGGGTCCATCTAGATTGCTGTTTAAGCTGTATCTACAGACTGGTGGTGGACAATGGTATGTGTTTGGCTCCTGGAGAAAACAGTGAAAGCTTCAAAGATCTGATTGGGTTAGCGTTTTAGATGAAGATAAAGGACTTCCAATCTAAATATAGGCAATTGAATAACCCAACAAGTTAGATGTCTTATAGACCATTCTGGGTGTAGCAATCTTGCTATAAAAATGGAGCAAATTGAGTAAAGTATTTTACATTCCTTGGTTTGAAAATCAACAATGAATGACAGTTGTTATGTGAGATAAATCAGATTTATGTGATTGGATTGTATAACTCTTGGCAGACATTTAACATATTTCATTAAACCACTACTTTCATGTTGTCTCTCTGATCGTCTTTATATTACCTTGTGACATCAATGCTGCATGAAGGCACGTAAAAGCATATTGACATGAAACCATGATACTGGAACGTTGCTAATCAGTGGTCAGGTCACCTCACCTCACATTTTATATGTGTATGTCCTGTCATCCATCTATCATCCTCCTTTTCTTTCCCCTCCTATCCCCCTCTTTCCCTCCTATCCCCTATTCCCCCCTATTTCCCCTCCTACCCACGGGAGCTCACCCGCCACCCCTCGTGCCCCCCGAGCCCCCTTGCCCCCAGCCAACGGCCTCTACCCCCGGCATCCGCGAGCCCCGCTCCCGGCTCCCCGACCGCTCGGGACCCACAGCCCCTCTTCCCCCTCCCAGCCCCGCTAGCCCCCTCTTCACCCGTCCCTACCCCTCTGTTCCCCGTCCAGACCCCCTCTTCCCTCCTATCCCCCGCTTCCCGTCCTATCCCCCGCGGTCCCCTCGATCCCCCGTTTTCCCCTCCATCCCCGCTTTCCCCATACCTATCACCCCTCTTTCCCCCCCTCCCCTCCTATCCCCTCTTTCCCCCTACCCCTATCCCCCTCCTATCCCCCTGTTCCCTCCTATTTCCCCCTCCACCCTCTTTCCCCTCCTATCCCCTCATTCCCTCCTATCCCCTCCCATCCCCCTCTTTCCCTCCTATCCCCTCTTTCCCACGTATGCACCCTCTATTACCCCCTACTCCCTCTTTCCCTCTATCTCTGTGCCCATCCTATCCCCTTTCCTCTCCCTGATGACACCTCCTATTCCCCTCTCCTCCTACCCCCTCTTTCCCATCCTATCCCCCTCTTCTCCTACTCTACTCCCCACATATTTACTCCTCTCTATCCCTCCTCCGAATAGCTCCTCTTGCTCCTCTATCCGCCCCGAGGGAAGTACGCTAGCCGGTGCTCCAACAACTCAGACTCCACCACTGGAGGGCCACGATCTGCGTAACTGACTCAGACTCCAGCCGACGAGGGGAGGAGATAGCTAGCGGTGCTAACTGACTCAGACTCCAGCCGACGAGGGGAGGAGATAGCTAGCTGCTAACTGACTCAGACTCCAGCCGACGAGGGGAGGAGATAGTAGCGGTGTAAGACTCAGACTCCAGCCGCGAGGGAGTAGATAGCTAGCTTGCTAACTGACTCGACTCCAGCCGACGGGGAGGAGATATACTACGGGGCTAACTGACTCAACTCCAGCCGACGAGGGAGGATGACCTACGTGCTAACTGACTAGACCCAGGCCGCAGTGGAGAGCTAGCTAAGCGGTGCTAACTGACTCAGACTCCACGCCGACGGGGAGGAGATTAGCTTAGCGGTGCTAACTGACTCAGACCTCCAGCCGACGAGGGGCAGGTAATAGCTAGCTGTGGCCTAACTGACTTAACTCCAGCTCCGACGTGGAGGAGATAGCTAACGGTGCTCACTGCCGGCTCAGCCTGACATGGAGGAACCTCTCCACTGCGGGCACTGACCTATAACCTCCATGTCCACAGGGCCAGGAGTACATAGTGTAACGACTCGACTCCACCGTCCGGGGGCCAAGCTGTATCTACTACCACTCCACTGTCCCAGGCAGGTACCTATTAACCCTTCCACTGTACCCAGGGCCAGATGTACCATCTAACCTCTCACTGTCCGGGCCACTGACCAATCAACCCTTTCCAACTGTCCCAGGCCGCTGTACACTCACTTGCTACATCCTGTTCCATTCTCTCCTGCATGTCTGTATCCTATCTAACTCTCCACTGTCCCGGGCCAGCTGTACTATTAACCCTCTCCACTGTCCAGGCCAGCTGTACCTATCTAACCCTCTCCACTGTCCCGGGCCAGCTGTACATATTTAACCCTCTCCACTGTCCCGGGCCAGCTGTACCTATCTAACCCTTTCCACTGTCCCAGGCCAGCTGTACTATCTAACCCTCTCCACTGTCCCTGGGCCAGCTGTACATATCTAACCCTCTCCACTGTCCCAGGCCCCTGTACCTATCTAACCCTCTCCACTGTCCCGGGCCAGCTGTACATATCTAACCCTTCCACTGTCCCGGGCCAGCTGTACCTATCTAACCCTCTCCACTGTCCCGGGCCAGCTGTACTTATTAACCCTCTCCACTGTCCCGGGCCAGCTGTACTATTAACCCTCTCCACTGTCCCAGGCCAGCTGTACCTATCTAACCCTCTCCACTGTCCCGGGCCAGCTGTACCTATCTAACCCTCTCCACTGTCCCGGGCCAGCTGTACCTATCTAACCCTCTCCACTGTCCCGGGCCAGCTGTACATATTTAACCCTCTCCACTGTCCCGGCCAGCTGTACCTATCTAACCTCTCCACTGTCCAGGCCAGCTGTACCTATCTAACCCTCTCCACTGTCCCGGCCAGCTGTACCTATCTAACCCTCTCCACTGTCCCGGGCCAGCTGTACCTATCTAACCCTTTCCACTGTCCCGGGCCAGCTGTACCTATCTAACCCTCTCCACTGTCCCAGGCCAGCTGTACCTATCTAACCCTCTCCACTGTCCCAGGCCAGCTGTACCTATCTAACCCTCTCCACTGTCCCGGGCCAGCTGTACCTATCTAACCCTCTCCACTGTCCCGGGCCAGCTGTACCTATCTAACCCTCTCCACTGTCCTGGGCCAGCTGTACCTATCTAACCCTCTCCACTGTACTGGCTAGCTGTGTACCTATCTAGCCCTCTCCACTTGGTCCGGCCTATCTAACCCTCTCTGGCTGTACTGTACTGACAGCCTCCCCAGCAGCCAGCAGACAGGGTTTGGGGCATGGGGTGGTGGTGTGGACTGGAGCAGTGCAGACAGAGAGGAGTGGTGTGATATTGAGTGTGGTGTGGTGATGCAGTCAACGCCCAGGCAGGCAGGCAGGCATGTGCAGGGGAAGGAAGGGTAGGGAAGCCCAGCTCTGATTGGGTTATTATCAGTGCCAGGCCCCAGCCTCTCTCCTCTCATGCTGTCTGCCCAGAGAGAGAGATGGGAATACCAATCCCCTGCAGCAGCCACACCTCTGGGGAGTGAGAGATGCTCTTGTATCCTGGTCCTCTGGGACCACCATGCCTGGCACACTCTGCCTCACAGACCTGCTGTTTTAGGGGAAGAACGGCTTTGAGATGCAGCCAAAGAGTAATTTGAATGCTTAATGCCCTCTGTCTCTCTTATGAATAATTTGAATGCTTAATGTCCTCTCTCTCTATTTTCTCTCCTGCTGTGAGAGAGGGATGCCCCGACGGGTCTGAAGAGGATCAAAGTGCATTCTGATTTACACACTCAAGATCTGTTTGAAGTGGGATTTCAGCATAATTATCTTCTTAACAACTAATTATTTGCTGGTTCAGTAGAATGGAATCAATGAACCATGTTGCCAGGGCCGGGTATAGCTGGAGCTGGCTGGACTGGTAAATGTCAGAACGAATTGGAAATGCACCAAAATGATTCCTTGGTGCCATGATGACACATTCTCCAGAGCTGTCATGTGATGCCTCCGTGTTCACTGAGTCGTTTAATCGGCTTTAAAGTAAGATGACTTTGTTGTAGTGGAGCTCTAGCATTAAAAGCAGTAGTGGTAGGTGCATCCCAAATGGCACCCTATTCCCTTTATAGTACACTATTTTTGACCAGGGCCCATAGGGCATTTGGGACTCATCTGTAGACCCAGGGTGTTTGCCTCTTCACTATGAATAGTGCTAGTCTGTCTGTGTGGATGGCTGAAAATGCAATAATATTCAAGAATTCCTGTCACATTCTTCACATTCATCACTCGTGTGTCACTAATAATGTTTCATATTCATACACAATCTCACAACAGCTTGCTACTGACACTATGGCCATAGATGAACTTCTGCTCTGATTGGCTGTGAGTGAGGAAATCACTTCCTGTTTGGCACTTCCTGCCCTGGATGGTCCTGGGTTTTCAGGCAGAGGACATGTTTGATTGAATATCACTACATTGACGGCCTCACATCTCATGTTTGATTAGTAAATCCTACACACTGGCTCTCTCACAGAGCCTCAGCTCTGGCCCACTCCACAACCTCCCCCTCCGCTCTCGTCTTTCTTCAGTGCACGCTCTCTCTCTTCACATATCTGTCACTCTCTTGTCTGACTGGCTATTGTGCACCTCCATTTGTAGTTCACTGCTCTGTGCTCTCTATCTCTTCATGTCTGCCAGTATCCTGTCAGACTACTTCAGTCTTACTCCCTGCTATCTCCCCATGCTGTCAGCCTGCTGTACACCTTTGGGCTGCCCGCCCAACGCAGCCTTCAGCCTTGCCCTCCTCTCCTCACCACTCAAACTTACTGCCCTCTTTCCTGTCAGTCGGTCTTACTCTCTCCTGGCTGTCTTCAGTCTAGCCTTCCTGTCCTCTCTTTCCAGGCTCCGTCACACAGGCTTGGCCCACAATGAGAGCTGACGGAATGGGGTCAGGGGATCGCCTTGGCAACCAATCAGCCTGGAAATGGATGCTCTCTTTTCAGGTCAAGTGTCACAAAGGGCCACGGCTGTGTCTGTGTGCCGAATGCTAAGTAGAAATACACCCAAATTAGCACCACTTGGCTACAATGTTTCAGACTGCATGTTACTGCAAACATTCAAAATAAGTGAATATGTAACATACCATGAGGTCTGTGTTTTAGACCATCTTAAGACTTTGGTCATAGAAGATTCAGCCTATTATCAAGGTCTTTGAACTTGAACAATGTCCTTAGGCGTGCATTTTCCAAGAAACTGCTGCTGACACTGATGTTGCTAATGCCAGGAACGTTTCAGTGATTCCAATGCTTTTCCTGTATAAACCCTTTGACTCCTGTAGAGTAAGAGGTAAGCCACATCATATACAGTGAGGGAAAAAAGTATTTGATCCCCTGCTGATTTTGTACGTTTGCCCACTGACAAAGAAATGATCAGTCTATAATTTTAATGGTAGGTTTATTTGAACAGTGAGAGACAGAATAACAACAAAAAAATTGAGAAAAACGCATGTCAAAAATGTTATAAACTGATTTGCATTTTAATTAGGGAAATAATTATTTGACCCCTTCTCAATCAGAAAGATTTCTGGCTCCTAGGTGTCTTTTATACAGGTAACGAGCTGAGATTAGGAGCACACTCTTAAAGGGAGTGCTCCTAATCTCAGTTTGTTAACTGTATAAAAGACACCTGTCCACAGAAGCAATCAATCAATCAGATTTCAAACTCTCCACCATGGCCAAGACCAAAGAGCTCTCCAAGGATGTCAGGGACAAGATTGTAGACCTACACAAGGCTGGAATGGGCTACAAGACCATCACCAAGCAGCTTGGTGAGAAGGTGACAACAGTTGGTGCGATTATTCGGAAATGGAAGAAACACAAAATAACTGTCAATCTCCCTCGGCCTGGGGCTCCATGCAAGATCTCACCTTGTGGAGTTGCAATGATCATGAGAACAGTGAGGAATCAGCTCAGAACTGCACGGGAGGATATTGTCAATGATCTCAAGGCAGCTGGGACCATAGTCACCAAGAAAACAATTGGTAACACACTACGCCGTAAAAGCCTGAAATCCTGCATCGCACGCAAGGTCCCCCTGCTCAAGAAAGCACATATACAGGCCAGTCTGAAGTTTGCCAATGAACATCTGAATGATTCAGAGGAGAACTGGGTGAAAGTGTTGTGGTCAGATGAGACCAAAATCGAGCTCTTTGCAATCAACTCAACTCGCCGTGTTTGGAGGAGGAGGAATGCTGCCTATGACCCCAAGAATACCATCCCCACCGTCAAACATGGAGGTGGAAACATTATGCTTTGGGGGTGTTTTTCTGCTAAGGGGACAGGACAACTTCACCGCATCAAAGGGACGATGGACGGGGCCATGTACCGTCAAATCTTGGAAGAGAACCTCCTTCCCTCAGCCAGGGCATTGAAAATGGGTCGTGGATGGATATTCCAGCATGACAATGACCCAAAACACACGGCCAAGGCAACAAAGGAGTGGCTCAAGAAGAAGCACATTAAGGTCCTGGAGTGGCCTAGCCAGTCTCCAGACCTTAATCCCATAGAAAATCTGTGGAGGGAGCTGAAGGTTCGAGTTGCCAAACGTCAGGCTCGAAACCTTAATGACTTGGAGAAGATCTGCAAAGAGGAGTGGGACAAAATCCCTCCTGAGATGTGTGCAAACCTGGTGGCCAACTACAAGAAACGTCTGACCTCTGTGATTGCCAACAAGGGTTTTGCCACCAAGTACTAAGTCATGTTTTGCAGAGGGGTCAAATACTTATTTCCCTCATTAAAATGCAAATCAATTTGTAACATTTTTGACATGCGTTTTTCTGGATTTTGTTGTTGTTATTCTGTCTCTCACTGTTCAAATAAACCTACCATTAAAATGATAGACTGATCATGTCTTTGTCAGTGGGCAAACGTACAAAATCAGCAGGGGATCAAATACTTTTTTCCCTCACTGTACTAGAACTGTAGGACACAACCTAATTGGATTTGAGGTGGACTATTTTAGACAGAGGGCAATTCCACGGTAACGGAATTGCGCTGAGATTTAGATTTTTCACTCAATTAACGCAAAACAAAAACCATTGATTTAAAAGTTTAACAAACCATAGAACTCTATGCACAATGACTACTTTTAACAATTTATACTGACAATTTTATAAAAACACATTTACTGGAAGAACTGTGCAGATGCATAGTTTGGTAACAAAATTTTGGTAAAATCTTCCTCATTTTTTTTTAATGTGTCCACGTTTTCCAAAAATTCTGTTAAATATCTGCTCCGAATTAAGATTCAACGATGTTTGCAGAAATATAATGGGTTGTCGGCTATGACATGACACATTGACTTTGAAAAAAATCGCTTTTGGTTATTAAACTACAGAAGGTGAAGTGGGTTTACAACGGGTAACATAATTGCGGTAACGGAATTTCATCATGGGTCCCTGATCCTTACTGCACAGAAATACATAATTATGGATATGAAAGTCATTCTCTTCATGGTGATGTATCCTGAATAGGTACACAAAGGCACACATTTGCATATTTGGGTATTATTCTACACACTGGCTATTATTGTAATGAGCTCTGCCCCCAAACAAGATCACATTTGGTTGGTTTGGACTGGACCAAATCTGAACCAATCATAGACGTTTATGTTTTACAAGTTTGGACATCAAAGTACAGCACAGTAGAGCTCAGTAGAGTACAGCACAGAACATTAGAGTATAGTACAGTACATTACAGTACAGTACAGTATAGTTCAGTACAGGACAGTATAGTTTAGTACAGGACAGTATAGTTCAGTACAGGACAGTATAGTTCAGGACAGGACAGTATAGTTCAGTACAGGACAGGATAGTTTAGTACCTTACTCTAGTGTGCTGTACTCTACTGTACTGAACTATACTTTTCTTTACTGTGCTGTCCTGTGCTGTCCTGTACTGTGCTGTCCTGTGCTGTGCTGTACTGTACTGTGCTGTACTGTACTGTGCTGTCCTGTACTGTGCTGTCCTGTGCTGTCCTGTACTGTGCTGTCCTGTGCTGTCCTGTACTGTGCTGTCCTGTACTGTGCTGTACTGTACTGTACTGTGCTGTACTGTGCTGTGCTGTGCTGTCCAAACTTGTGAACCCAACTTTGTTTCGTGACTACTGTGATTTCCCATTGTAGCCAATACAATTACCGAAATTCCATTACTGAGTTTTAAACACTTAATAATTCATAAACAAAATTGATATCAGTAAAAACACTATAGGTAATTGATAGGTCGACCTTTACTTGTTACTTCTGGGAACTTTCATTATCTTCCCTCCACATGAGGGATAAAAATGTGAAAATACAGTATCTTAAAGAGACAGTGCATTCGGAAAGTATTCAGACCCCTTGACTTTTTCCACATTTTGTTACATTACAGCCTTGTTCTAAAATTTATAAAATAAAACAAATGTCCTCATCAATCTACACACAATACCCCATAAAGACAAAGCGAAAACAGGTTTTTAGAAATGTTAGCTAATTTATAAAATCTTAAAAACAGAAATAACTTATTAACATAAGTATTCAGACCCTTTGCTATGAGACTCGAAATTGAGCTCAGGTGCATGTGTTTCCATTGATCATCCTTGAGATGTTTCTACAACTTGATTGGAGTCCACCTGTTGTTAATTCAATTGATTGGACATGATTTGGAATGTGCCGAGGCACAGATTTGGGGAAGGGTACCAAAACATTTCTGCAGCATTGAACACACTGGCCTCCATCATTCTTAAATGGAAGAAGTTTGGAACCACCAAGACTCTTCCTAGAGCTGGCCGCCTGGCCAAACTGAGCAATCGGGGGAGAAGGGCCTTGGTCAGGGAGGTGAACAAGAACACGATGGTCACTCTGACATGGCTCCAGAGTTCCTCTGTGGAGATGGGAGAATCTTCCAGAAGGACAACCATCTCTGCAGCACTCCACCAATCAGGCATTTATGGTAGCGTGGCCAGCCTGCTTGGAGTTTGCCAAAAGGCACCTAAAGACTCTCAGACCATGAGAGACAAGATGTTCTGGTCTGATGAAACCAAGATTGAACTCTTTGGCCTGAATGCTAAGCGTCATGTCTGGAGGAAACCTGGCACCACCCCTACGGTGAAGCATGGTGGTGGCAGCATCATGCTGTGGGGATGTTTTTCAGCGGCAGGTACTGGGAGACTAGTCAGGATAGAGGGAAAGATGAACGGAGCAAAGTACAGAGAGATCCTTGATGAAAACTTGCTCCAGAGTGCTCAGGACCTCAGACTGGGGCGAAGGTTCACCTTCCAACAGGACAACGACCCTAAGCACACAGCCAAGACAACGCAGGAGTGGCTTCGGGACAAGTCTCTGAATGTCCTTGAGTGGCCCAGCCAGAGCCCGGACTTGACCCGATCAAACAGAGACCTGAAAATAGCTGTGCAGTGACACTCCCCATTCAACCTGACAGAGCTGGAGAAGATCTGCAGAGAAGAATGGGAGAAACTCCCCAAATACAGGTGTGCAAAGCTTGTAGCGTCATACCCAAGAAGACTTAAGGCTCTAATCACTGCCAAAGGTGCTTCAACAAAGTACTGAGTAAAGGGTCTGAATATTTATGTAAATGTGATATTTCAGTTGTAGTTTCTACAAACCTGTTTTTGCTTTGTCATTATGGGGTATTGTGTGTAGATTGATGAGGGGGAAAAAACAATTTAATCAATTTTAGAATAAGGCTGTAACTTAACAAAATGTGGAAAAAGGCAAGGGGTCTGAATACTTTCCGAATGCACTGTATGTCGGTTTTTGGTAATGGAATTTCAACGCACAAGGCAATGTTTCTTAAACGTACAAAAAAAAATTCTCCAAAACTGTGTTGATATTCGAATTCCTGAGCGACTAGGTGAAAAATCTGTTGATGTGTCCTTGAACTTAATTGCTCCTGTAAGTCGCTCTGGATAAGAGCGTCTGCTAAATGACAGGTTGGCAGGGGTCTTTAATTCAAATATACACTCGTTTATGTTTTCTAAGACCCGTTTTCCATCTGTTTGACCAGACATCAAAGCCTCTGCTTATTCAACATTTTTAGGATATAAAATAGTTGAAAAATGTATATATGCCGTGCTGCCTTAATTAAAAAAAATAATAGACTCTTAGCTTTCATTTGACATGCTCCTATGAACTTCATGTTGGTGCTCATGGGTCCTTTTACATGGAAATGACCCAAAATAAACTTGACTGTTTGTATCCAAGGAGGCAGAGATATCTTGCTAAGTCTCTGCGGTGACCTCCATGTAAGTGACCTCACTGCTATGAACTGCTCCATGTGTGTGAGATAGAAGGAGTGTCTCGGAGGTCTTTGTACACATCTAGCGCTGCTGTTCCTGTTGTATGCGTCAACAGCAAACTGAGAGGCCCTCCTGTACTCACTCCAATTTTCTAGCTGTGTATGAATACCCTTGAAACCAGCACAAGGTGATCCCTGGGTTGTTGAATGACGGTTGAAAACCTGTTGGGACTGTTTTCTTTTAGTCTCTAGTTTTGCACAGATAAATGTACACTTTTGTTTTTGCCTCCCAGAATGAATTAGGCCTAATGTTTATGTCTGTTAGTAAGTGGCTGAAACCAATGTCAAGTTTGTGGTAGCTGGGGAGGTCGGCTAGTTGGAAATGGCACTGGTCCTAATCTGGTTAGTGAAATACAGCAACTCAAGAGAGAAGGGAGGAGGACAGAGCCTCATAGGGCTCTGTCCCCCTCCCTTCTCTCTCTCTCTTCTCTCTCTCTCCCCTCCCCTCCTTTCTCTCTCTCTCTTCAATTTAAATGCATCTCTCTTACGCTCTCTCTGTTTCTGCTCTCCTGTCTCTCTCTGCCCCCTCCCCAACTTTCTATTCTCTTCCTTCTCTCTCTCTCTCTCTTCTCTTCTCTCTTCGCCTTCTCGCTCTCGCTCTCGCTCTTTTCTCTTCTTCCTCTCCTGTCTTTTCTCTCTCTCTCTCGCTCGCTCGCTCGCTCTCTCTCTCTCTCTCTCTCTCTCTCTTTCTCTTTCTCTCTCTCTCTCTCTCTCCCTCCCCTCCCCTCCCCCTCTCTCTTTCTCTCACTCTACTGTCCTGGAGCAGAACAAGCTTTAAATTATTGCTGCTGCACCACATGAAACGTCATGATCGCACATAGGAAATGGTTTCCACTTCTGTGGATCTCATGTTGAATGTTAATGTGCTGCTTGCTGCACTACTGTTTTTGTGGGAGTTGTTGGATGATTTCGTTCCTTTTAGTGGAGAAAACCTCCCTGGTTTCTCTACTTGCTGTGTCAGCATCAGGCGTGGCAGAGCCAAAAACCCTGGAGAAAGAATTCCGGCAGCTAAAAAAATAAAAAATTGTTGTGTTCTTCATGGTAGCCCTTTTTGTGCCTGTTGCTAGGAGACGGTAAGAGCTATGTGGCTGAACATTGAGCCTGGTTTGGACAAGAGAAAAGACACGGAACAGAGGAAAGAAAGAAAGAAAGAAAGAAAGAAAGAAAGAAAGAAAGCAGTGGAAAGAGGAGAAACCTCTGGGGCTTACAGATATACAGTTCTTCTATGTTCCTTGTGTTCTGCTTCTACCACTCTGAACTGTTTACTTTAGTTCCCAATAGCTGCCTTACATTCTCACTGTTTCTCCCTAATTCTCTGGGTGTTCTAGCAGGCCCTTTGTGGTCCTACTGGTCCTTTGTTTTCTTGGTTTGAGTTAGCCATTGTTAAAACTCTGTTTGGTTCCAAGGAACATTCTGTTTCTGATGAGGCTTCAGTTTTCAGGGGGAAACAGCAGCCGCTAAAATGGCTAACACAGTCCTTTTCTCTTTAGTTCTGTCCTGACTGACTGTCATTACTCCCTGGGATTCTCTGTTTCTGTTTGTCAGTCATTAAAGCACTGGAAGAGCGTAGCAGTGAGAGGGGTGTGTGTGTGTTTCCCTCTGCCAGTCTTTTCTATGTTGCTTCGCTGATGATAGTAATGAGGCAAGCAGGGTGTGACCCAATCTTCCCATGCCCCTCTTTCATCAGTCATCGAACTTTAAATACACATACATGTCTATAGTCTCCATGCTGACACATGCAGATGTGATGAAAGCCAGCTGTTCAGAGAGACAAACAAAGGATGTGTTTCCAGTGTGTGTGTGTGTGTGTGTGTGTTCAAGGGTCCTCTTTTTGTCCACCGCAGCACTGTCAGAGGCTGCCCCGTTTGCTATTGTAACTAATCAAACGCGTAGGTCACATTTGATTAGTTAAACACAGTTTCTGCATGTGTTTGTGGGAACGTAGTGTTCTATCTGCCTGTGTGTGTGTGTGTCCTGGCTTCAAGTCAAGTTCTGCCCTGTCTTGACCTTCTTCAAGTGGATGCCACACACTGTGTAACAATGATTGAGTTTTCAATCATTGTCATTGTGACATAAACTACATGACCAAAAGTATGTGGACACCTGCACGTCGAACATTTCATTCCAAAATCATGGGCATTAATATGGAGTTGGTTCGCCCTTTGCTGCTATAACAGCCTCCACTCTTCTGGGAAGGCTTTCCATTAGATGTTGGAACATTGCTGAGGGGACTTGCTTCCATTCAGCCACGAGCATTAGTGAGGTCGTGTACTGATGTTGGCCGATTAGGCCTGGCTCGCAGTCGGCGTTCCAATTCATCCTAAAGGTGTTCGATGGGGTTGAGGTCAAGGGCTCTGTGCAGGCCAGTCAGGTTCTTCCTCATCGATCTCGACAAACCATTTCTGTATGGACCTCTTTTTGTGCACGGGGGGCATTGTCATTCTGAAACAGGAAAGGGCCTTCCACAAACTGTTGCCACAAAGTTTGAAGCACAGAATTGTCTAGAATGTCATTGTATGCTGTAGCATTAAGATTTCCCTTCACTGGAACTAAGGGGCCTAGCCCGAACCATGAAAAACCTCCTCCGCCAAACGTTACAGTTGGTACTATGGATTCGGGCAGGTAGCGTTCTCCTGGCATCCGCCAAACCCAGATTTGTCCGTCGGACTGCCAGATGGTGAAGCGTGATTCATCACTCCAGAGAACGCGTTTCCACTGCTCCAGAGTCCAATGGCGGCGAGCTTAACACCACTCCAGCCGACGCTTGGCATTGCGCATGGTGATCTTAGGGTTGTGTGATGCTGCTCGGCCATGGAAACCCATTTCATGAAGCTCCTGACGAACAGTTCTTGTGCTGAAGTTGCTTCCAGAGGCAGTTTGGAACTCAGTAGTGAGTGTTGCAACCGAGCTTCAGCACTCGGTGATCCCGTTGTGTGAGTTTGTGTGGCCTACCACTTCGCGGCTGAGCCGTTGTTGTTCCTAGAGTTTCAACTTCATAATAACAGCACTTACAGTTGACCGGGGCAGTTCTAGCAGAGCAGAAATTTGACGAACTGACTTGTTGGAAAGGTGGCATCCTATGACGGTGCCACGTTGAAAGTCACTGAGCTCTTCAGTAAGACCATTCTACTACCAATGTTTGTCTATGGAGATTGCAAGGCTGTGTGCTCGATTTTATACACATGTCAAAATAGTTGAATCCACTAATTTGATTAATTCATTCCGTATGTCAGAACCTTGGTCCATCTGTACTATAGGTCTCCGACTTTCCTCCATCTGTACCTCAGCTCTCTGACTAGCCTTTCCTCCATCTGTACCTCAGCTCTCTGACTAGCCTTTCCTCCATCTGTACCTCAGTTCTCTGACTAGCCTTTCCTCCATCTGTACCTCAGCTCTCTGACTAGCCTTTCCTCCATCGGTACCTCAGCTCTCTGACTAGCCTTTCCTCCATCTGTACCTCAGTTCTCTGACTAGCCTTTCCTCCATCTGTACCTCAGCTCTCTGACTAGCCTTTCCTCCATCGGTACCTCAGCTCTCTGACTAGCCTTTCCTCCATCTGTACCTCAGTTCTCTGACTAGCCTTTCCTCCATCTGTACCTCAGCTCTCTGACTAGCCTTTCCTCCATCTGTACCTCAGGTCTCTGACTAGCCTTTCCTCCGTCTGTACCTCAGGTCTCTGACTAGCCTTTCCTTCTTGTTAAAATTTTTCTGTCAGCTGTAGTTCTCTCTCTCTCTCTCTCTTTCTCTTTCTCTCTCTTCCTCCCTCACTCTCTCTCTCTCTCTCTGCCTGGCCTCAGGGAGTGCACCTCAGGTCTATGTCTCACACTGCAGTCAAACCACCAGCAGAGATATTTACACAAGTGGGAGTAATTAGCATGTGATTGAGAGGTATGTGGAAATCACGCGTGTGGATCTGGGCCTGTGTGTGTGTGTGTGTGTAGCGTGTTTGTGTGTCAGTGAGTGTGTAGCGTGTTCCTGGGCCTGAGCACGGGCTAGCCCACACCAAGCCGACAGCTACAGGCTAGTCCACACCAAGCCCAGCTAGAGGCTAGTCCACACCAAGCCCAGCTAGAGGCAGGGGGGGCTCTCTGCTCTTTCTCTGCTCTCTGATTGGGCAAGGATGTAGGGTGAAACCACTGTACTCCCCTCAGTACTTGGGAGCTGCTAGTAGTGGGGAGGAGAGGGAAGAGGGGAAAGGGTGTTAAGCTCACTGTTGAGCTTGAAAAGTGCTGCACTGCACATAGACCCTGGCTGGTGATGATGGGAAATATGACTCTTCCATTCCTTCTACTTCCACTTTCCCTCAAGCCTGGAGCAGGTTGCGAAGCAACACCACACAGTAACAATGTGTGGAGGTTTTGTATACCCACTACCCTCTCACCAAGGGCACAGGGAGAGCATGGGAACCTGGGTGTGATTGGTACATGGCAGAAGAGGTGATGCTGTATTTAGAAGTCATTTAGCACAATATCGCTTCATATCTTATTTGTTGTGTTTTTTTAATAAATGTTTATCTTTTATTTTGATTAGTTATGCTATTTTGATATTGATTACTGCACTGTTGGGTAGGGCTGGGAATTGCCAGGGACCTCACGATACGATATTATCACGATATTTAGGTGCCAATGCGATATGTATTGCAATTCGATGTTCCAAACACATTGCTGCTGCAGAGGGACAACAGAGCCATGAGAAAACAAGTTTTGGCCAGTCATGGAAATAAAAATGCTGAAAGAAGATTTAAAAAGAAGATGGAGAACAAGCTATGGAATGTTGGTGCAGGTACAGTAAACTACCACAAAAATAATATTGCGATATTATCAAAACGATACACTCTTAAAAATTAGGGGTTCAACAAGGATTCTTCTAAGATCGTCAAAGTTCTTCGAAGAACCTTAGGGTTATTGGCACTGGAAATTGCCCCCAAAAGGTTATTCCATGAACCCCATAGGAGGTGGGGTTCATCGAGGAACCTCCTTAGTTGGTGGGGGTTCTTGCAGGAACCTAACTGCCTAACTGAAACATTTGGATTTGAAAGGAGAGCAGGTGCAGGCACTTAACTGAAACATTTAAATATCTCCTCAATTTAAGGTAAGGTTTGTCCCTTGTATGATATCAATTGATATTGTTTTATGATGATACCATCTATCTTTTTATATTTGTGCAAATCTTCCTAAAAACAGAAAATGGACAAAATTCAATGGATATCAATCAACAAAGAGGTAAGAATATGTAGGCTATAAGAATATGTTGAAGGCTAGCTGTATTGGGTGCAGATGACTGAACTTCTCACTTTTGTGTCTGTCTGCAGGTATACAGACGAGGAGGCATACAAAGGTATGTCCATTGGCATTGGTATGTTATGCTGATCACATTTACCATCCTTCCTTACCTCTTCAATGAATATCCCATAGGCCTCTACATTAAGGACAAGGTATGTGTATGAAAACAATTATCAAAACAGTTTTTTTCATTCACATTCACCACAAAAACGAGGTATGAATACTGTCGTGTGCATATTTTGTTAATCATCTGTATAATTACTATTTTTTTCATTCACAGACTTCACCCTCCCTACACCTCTGAATATAACAGGAAACCTGTTTGATCACCATGCACTGCAAAATAATTCTGGCTATGTATACGGAGAACATCAACACATTAACATCAACATGCCAGAGGATATACTTGTTGGACTTGGGGTTCTGCTGGGAGTTTACCTCATATTTGGATTTTGTAATTCTGCTTTGCCACTAAAATCATAATAAACACTGACAACTAAAATATTGTGTTATTGTTGTTATTGTTATGCATATTATTAATACAAATCATAATAAGGGAGGTAGTTCAACAATGAACCACAAAAGGTTCTTCAAAAGGTTATTAGAGGATCCATTAAAATGAGTTTTTTGAAGAACCATTTTAAAGGGTTCTTTGAAGAACTTTAAGGGGATCCCCCACAGTTTCAATTTGAAGGACCCCTAAACGATACTCCAGGAACCTTTTCGTATATCGTAAAAAATAATATCCTGATATGTAACTGTATCTATTTTTTTCCCCCATCACTACTGTTGGGTAGAGCATGAAAGTTAAGCATTTCACTGTACTTGTATATGTGACAATAAAACTTGAACTTGATAGTTTTGCTTCAGGAAATCAGGTACTAGAGAGAGAGGGAGCGAATGCAGAAAGTAGCTCTCACAGAATGGGCATCTGGATTAGATTTCAGTATTAGAAATCACCCCGGATACATTAGCTGAGAGCCTCATGTTAACCCTGATTATCTGGAGGTATTAACATGACTCATAATACGTCTAGATGGAATACAGTGCTCATGATGAGTGTGGATCAGTTGGTAGAGCATGGCACTTGCAACACCAGGGTTGTGAGTTCAATTCCCACGGGGGACCAGTAGAAAATGTATTGCATTCACTACTGTAAGTCACTCTGAATAAGAGTGTCTGCTGAATGACTAAACTGTAAATATTACAGCAAGAGAAATGCACTAGGGTTGGGACTGGGGATATATGATGTTGTTTTCTTTCAATGACACAGTTTGACCTCAGTCATCCTGTGGTAATTTAGGGGATGTCCCTGTGCATCGCTTCTGGGGTAAGGAAAAGGTCATAAGCCCACAAAATGGGAGAATCTCCATTGCATACTCCTCTCTCCTCGCCTCCTTCTCAAAACCCATTGGAGAAAAAGGGGAGGGGAGGGACCTCTGGAAGGAGGCAAGGAGAGAGGACGCAAGGAGTATGCAATGGAGATTCTCCTAGTGAGAGCAGAGGCCCAGCATTGACTTGACTTTGTAATTCATGTAACCAGCCTGCTCTGAGAGTGAGTCTGTGTGTGTGTGTGTGTGTGTGTGTGCTGGCATGGTCTGTGACTGATAGAGCTGACGGAACAGAACGATGACCCCTGACCCCTAGCTTTCCTGTTGACACGGGGCCACCTGGCACCTCCCGGAAGTGGAATACATTCATTTCCACTCCTCTTACCTCACATTTGTCTCTGAGAACAGCTGAGAGACCTCAGTTTCCTCCCTGGGCGACGTTACAGGAACACGTGTTGTCTGTCTCCAGATCAGTGCCTAGCCTCATTCTGACAAACGGATGGAAATGAAAGGACTCAAATACAACATGATTGTACTTGTAGACACAAGTTTTCTTTAGTTAACGGGACGCTAAGGCCGTTGCCATGGAGATTGAGGGGAGGAGCAAAGTTCTGCCCTGGGGCTGCATCTCAAGGGTCATCTGCTCTCTCTCTCTCTCGCTCTCTCTCTCTCTAATTGGCCACAGTGGAATTGGCCCGTGTTGATTTTGGTTGAAATTCACAGCGCTTCAATTTCTGCTCACTGGGTTTGAAGTCAGCAAGATAAGAGTAGAGACTGCGTGCTGGAGATATTCATGTTTAGTAATACATTTGAAGTCTAGAGGTGATTGGTGATGATACTCATTATGTTTGATGGAAGGCCTAAAGATAGGGGGGGGGGGGGTTAGAAACAACACATGAGTAATTTTGGTTAATGTTGTTCTGCTATCTGAGTGACAGCTAAGGGACACACTGCAAGGATAATTTTCAGGAAATTCCATATCTCATTTGATAATAATCTATGCCTTGATACGTCTCAGAGTGTCCTAAAATGTCTCAGTGCTGATAATATTCCTCATATTAGCCTCTCTGTGTGGTTTTATCTTTCTGGTTCACACAACTGCACATAGCCAAGCCCTAACTGAAGTGACTGTAGTCACATAGCCAAGCCCTAACTGAAGTGACTGTAGTCACATAGCCAAGCCCTAACTGAAGTGACTGTAGTCACATAGCCAAGCCCTAACTGAAGTGACTGTAGTCACATAGCCAAGCCCTAACTGAAGTGACTGTAGTCACATAGCCAAGCCCTAACTGAAGTGACTGTAGTCACATAGCCAAGCCCTAACTGACGTGACTGTACTTTGTAGTCCTCTGTAGCTCAGCTGGTAGAGCACGGCGCTTGTAACGCCAAGATAGTGGGTTCGATCCCCGGGACCACCCATACACAAAAAATGTATGCACGCATGACTGTAAGTCGCTTTGGATAAAAGTGTCTGCTAAATGGCATATTATTATTATTATACTTTAGCCACCCTTGCTTCCACCTAAAACTGTAATCATCGGTTTCCTCAGCTGCCTGGGTCAAGTCAGGAGTTGAGACACATCCGATGCTGTGTTGCTGCTGAAATATGCCTTTGTTTTCCTAAATGAATAGTGTTTCTATTCAAATCCATGTGTAACAAAGAGCTGCATAGGACTCTGGCTGCTTGTGGATATCCTGTTGATATGGTTACAGGGCCCGGCCTTAAAGTGGAGTCACATAGTCAGGGACACACACAGACACACACATACTCACAGACAGCACTGAAGTAGTTTCACTAGTATTGCCCCAGAGGAGACAGCACTGTAGTAGTTTCACTAGTATTGCCCCAGCACACGGTGCACAAAGGGAATCTTTGTTGATACAGAGTTAGGCCAGCAGCAGGGAGTGTGTGTGTGCGTGTGCGTGCGTGTGTGCGTGTGCGTGCGTGTGTGTGTTTGTGTGTGTGCGTGCGTTCATGCATGTCTGTGGTATGTCATGCATCTGCATCACAAAAGCAGTGCTCATTGAGGGTGCACTATCGGGAGATTAGGGCTACTGTGTGGTGAACTGTGGCCTAGTGATGGGGACGTCATTAACAAACCACAGCCGTATCTCAGACACACACACACACACACACACACACACACACACACACACACACACACACACACACGTCTAGCCAGTAGTTGGCACTACCAGACACTTAACCACTCCAGTCTAAAACACACACAGCCTAAAGATCTGTGGAAAGATTCGGCCATGTTTCTCCCACACACTGCAGCTCCCACTCCATCCTACTGCTAACGGACTTTCACTGACACGGTCAATGTGTACTGCTACTGCCGTATGTCATGTTTAAATTGCTCTGTTGCTTCCGGGTGCAGGCACTCTGGCGGATTCCCGTTCTTTCCCTCATTGCCGGTCTGTGTCTCTCTTCAGGGGCCCTGTGGGATTGTGTTCCAGGGGCTAGAGAGCAGGACTGTGCTGTACCATTGTGTGGTGGGCTGGAGATCAGGAAGCAGAGGATAGAGGAGGAGAAGAATGGGGGGGGATTCTGTCGCTGAAGTGGGGATAGAAGGCTGGAGAGGCAGGAGTCATCCCTGGCCGCTATCCTTCCTCCTCTGGCGTCACAGAACATCCAGTGACAAAACAGCAATGGCAGCGGTTAGCTTAGTGTTTACTATCAAAGCCAAAGACTCATTTTCAACCGCCGCTTTACCCAGTGAGGGACGTGCTGGAGAGATGTGTGGAAAACCTCACAGAAGAGGAGATGAGAAGGAGACATGACATGACAGGCCTGCTGTCTGAAGTATCTGCAGTGGAAAAGTCTGGCTTTTAGCTCCCAACTAGCTCCCATCTGCACCGTACTGCCTGCCGTGTGGTGTGTGTGAGGGGGTGTTTGGCTCACCTAGACTCTACAGCACTGTTGGCCACCTGTCACTCACCTAATCCTTCTCCAACAGTCTTCAACATTGCCCTTACAGAGAAACAACATGGCCGAACCTCTAATGCCTAATTTGAGTCATTTCAGAAGACGTGAAACGTGACGAGGACCTGGTGTTGGATCAGGTGACCAGTCTGACCACAGAGATCTCGATGTACAGCTGAGGTTCCCTATCTATGGCCAAAGTGTGTTCATACTGTGGTTGCTTCGATGCCAGCAACACATTGTGACTCACTTTTACGAGAGCGAACTCTGAACCCATTGGCGTTTTATAGCCAGCTCTGAGGGCTCACTCCTGAGGCGAGAGCTTCCTTGATATGCTGAGGCATCCAGTATTTATGAAAAAGTACAAGGTTACGGGGCCTGTGTAAAAAATAAAATAGGACTGGCAAGCAACTGCAAATCTTTCCGCACATAGGGCCGCATGAAGGGCTCATGCTATTTACACAAGCATGGTCAATTTCTCTCTCTCCATCCCTCTCTCTCTGTGAGAATGGTTGACACACAACCTGTGCAAAGGACAGCGAAATCGCTAAGGAAGGAACCTTTAACACCTCATGCATTTTTTTAAAGACACCCATATGCCTCCCTCTTTTTGTTAACGTGACTTGCCCTCTCTCTGTCCTCCTTCAGATCTGTCCACGGCCAAGAGGAAGTTTGCAGAGTCTCTCAACGAGTTTAAGTTCCAGTGCATAGGAGACGCAGAAACGGACGACGAGATATGTATTGGTGAGCTCGCCCTGAGAAACTTGTAGTTACACACTCAGCACCAGCATAAGCTGGTCACCAGTGTCTAAAACATAGCGAAGGCTGGTCACCAGTGTCTAAAACATAGCGAAGGCTGGTCACCAGTGTCTAAAACATAGCGAAGGCTGGTCACCAGTGTCTAAAACATAGCGAAGGCTGGTCACCAGTGTCTAAAACATAGCGAAGGCTGGTCACCAGTGTCTAAAACATAGCGAAGGCTGGTCACCAGTGTCTAAAACATAGCGAAGGCTGGTCACCAGTGTCTAAAACATAGCGAAGGCTGGTCACCAGTGTCTAAAACACAGCGAAGGCTGGTCACTAGTGTCTAAAACATAGCGAAGGCTGGTCACAAGTGTCTAAAACACAGCGAAGGCTGGTCACTAGTGTCTAAAACATAGCGAAGGCTGGTCACTAGTGTCTAAAACACAGCGAAGGCTGGTCACTAGTGTCTAAAACATAGCGAAGGCTGGTCACCAGTGTCTAAAACACAGCGAAGGCTGGTCACCAGTGTCTAAAACATAGCGAAGGCTGGTCACCAGTGTCTAAAACATAGCGAAGGCTGGTCACCAGTGTCCAAAACACAGCGAAGGCTGGTCACCAGTGTCTAAAACACAGGATAAGCTGTTATCAACGCAATTAGGTTCCTTGACAAGTTGGATGAAATTTAATGACATCAATAAACTTGCCATTATGTTAAAAGTTTGAGAAACCATGGTCTGGAGCAGGGACGGAACAAGCAGTAGCTTGCTAGTTGAAAACACATTCTGGTCTAAAGCAAGCATGTCAACTAGGATTTCAAATTAATAACCTTGTTATCCAAGCAAAGTCACAAATGTTGAATGTTAGATTATGTACAGAGCCAAAGTATGATCACTGGCTCATTATTTATTGTTAACCTCCCACTGTATCCACTCTGTCTGTCGGTCTGTCTGTCTCTGTCTGTCTGTCTATCTCTAACCATCTACAGCAAAGTCTCTACAGGAGTTTGCTGGAGTGTTGCAGAACCTGGAGGATGAGAGAACGCGGATGGTGAGTGTCAGATATACAGTGTCTTCGGAAAGTATTCAGACCCCTTGACTTTTTCCACATTTTGTTACGTTACAGCCTTATTCTAAAATTGATTACATTATTTTTTCTCTCAGCAATCTACACACAATTCCCCATAATGACAAAGCGAAAACAGATTTTTAGAAATTTTTGCAAATGTATAAAAAAAAAAACCTGAAATACATGATTTACTTAAGTATTCAGACCCTTTGCTATGAGACTTGAAATTGAGCTCAGGACCATCCTGTTTCCATTAAGCATCCTTGAGATGTTTCTACAGCTTGATTGGAGTCCACCTGTGGTAAATTCAATTGATTGGACATGATTTGGAAAGGCACACACCTGTCTATATAAGGCCCCACAGTTGACAGTGCATGTCAGAGCAAAAACCAAGCCATGAGGTCGAAGGAATTGTTCGTAGAGCTCCAAGACAGGATTGTGCCGAGGCACAGATCTGGGGAAGGGTACCAAAAAATGTCTGCAGTATTGAAGGTCCCCAAGAACACAGTGGCCACCATCATTCTTAAATGGAAGAAGTTTGGAACCACCAAGACTCTTCCTAGAGCTGGCCGCCCGGCCAAACTGAGCAATTGGGGGAGAAGGGCCTTGGTCAGGGAGGTGACCAAGAACCCGATGGTCACTCTGACAGAGCTCTAGAGTTCCTCTGTGGAGATGGGAGAACCTTCCAGAAGGACAACCATCTCTGCAGCACTCCACCAATCAGGCCTTTATGGTAGAGTGGCCAGACGGAAGCCACTCCTCAGTAAAAGGCACATGACAGCCCGCTTGGAGTTTGCCAAAAGGCACCTAAAGACTCTCAGACCATGAGAAACAAGATTTTCTGGTCTGATGAACTCTTTGGCCTGAATGCCAAGCGTCACGTCTGGAGGAAACCTGGCACCATCCCTACGGTGAAGCATGGTGGTGGCAGCATCATGCTGTGGGGAGGTTTTTCAGCGGCAAGGACTGGAAGACTAGTCAGGATCGAGGGAAAGATGAACAGAGCAAAGTACAGAGAGAGCCTTGATGAAAACCTGCTCAAGAGTGCTCAGGACCTCAGACTGGGGAGATCGTTTACCTTCCAACAGGACAACGACCCTAAGCACACAGCCATGACAATGCAGGAGTGGCTTCGGGACAAGTCTCTGAATGTCCTTGAGTGGCCCAGCCAGAGCCCGGACTTGAACCCACATTTTATTGGCCACATGCGCCGAATACAACAGGTGCAGACATTACAGTGAAATGCTTACTTACAGCCCTTAACCAACAGTGCATTTATTTTTAATAAAAAAGCAAAATAAAAGAGCAGAAGTAAAATAAAATAACAGTAGGGAGGCTATATATACAGGGGGGTACCAGTGCAGAGTCAATGTGCGGGGGCACCGGGTAGTTGAGGTAGTTGAAGTAATATATACATGTGGGTAGAGTTAAAGTGACTATGCATAAATAATTAACAGAGTAGCAGCAGTGTAAAAAGATAGGGTAGGGGGTGGGGGTGGGGGAGGGCAGTGCAATTAGTACGGGTAGCCATGATTAGCTGTTCAGGAGTCTTATGGCTTGGGGGTAGAAGCTGTTGAGAAGTCTTTTGGACCTAGACTTGGCACTCCGGTAACGCTTGCCGTGCGGTAGCAGAGAGAACAGTCTATGACTAGGGTGGCTGGAATCTTTGACAATTTTGAGGGCCTTCCTCTGACACCGCCTGGTATAGAGGTCCTGGATGGCAGGAAGCTTGGCCCCAGTGATGTACTGGGCTGTCCACACCACCCTCTGTAGTGCCTTGCGGTCGGAGGCCGAGCAGTTGCCATACGAGGCGGTGATGCAACCAGTCAGGATGCTCTCGGTGGTGCAGCTGTAGAATTTTTTGAGGATCTGAGGACCCATGCCAAATCTTTTCAGTATCCTGAGGGGGAATAGGCTTTGTCGTGCCCTCTTCACGACTGTCTTGGTGTGTTTGGACCATGATAGTTTGTTGGTGATGTGGACACCAAGGAACTTGAAGCTCTCAACCTGTTCCACTACAGCTCCGTTGATGAGAATGGGGGCATGCTCAGTCCTCTTTTTTTTCCTGTAGTCCACATTCATCTCCTTTGTCTTGGTCACGTTGAGGGAGACACCACCTACTGTACTGGAGAAAACCGGTACAGTAATCGCTGCCAAAGGTGCTTCAACAAAGTACTGAGTAAAGGGTCTGAATACTTATGTAAATGTGATATTTCAGTTATTTTTTATTTTTTGTTGCAACAATTTCTAAAAACCTGTTTTTGCTTTGTCATTATGGGGTATTGTGTGTAGATTGATGAGGGGGAAAAAAAACATTTAATCAATTTTAGAATAAGGCTGTAATGTAACAATATGTGGAAAAAGTCAAGGGGTCTGAATACTTTCTGAACATGAAAGTGTTATATAACCAGTAGAGTGAGGTCCTGTGTGATCAGCTGTGTTGTGACTGATCTCTGCTCAGATTGAAAACGCCAATGATGTGCTGATCATGCCACTGGAGCGCTTCAGGAAGGAGCAGATCAGTGCTGCCAAGGTAAGGATATATTATGACTGGACCCCCGATAAGGGTACAATTGCGGCCCGCAATTCGGGGCATTCCTGCATACTTATATTTCTATTGCTAATTTTCTTTAGTTAGGACAGGCGGGAGGCAGGGGCACTCCGGTACAGTAGGTGGTGTTAATGCACAAAAACTTTGAATGCCAGCCGCCGATAAACCCCACAGAAGATGGGCATTGTTTTCCCGCAGTTCTGTTAACGACAGTGAGGGCAGGCGGGAGTGAAGGACACTGTCTACCTGTGTTGCTCCCGCTAGCTAACAAGGAGGACTGCGGTACACAGCAGGCGGGGGTGACACCATGTGCTAGCTAACTATCAAGCTAGCTAGTACACGGTGTCGCCTCAGCCTTCCGCCTGCTGTGCTAGCGGGAGGCGGGGATGACCGGTAGACAGTGTCCTTCGCCCTCGCCTGTCAGGCACGGTTTCCCCCCCCCCCCTAAATGACCTGTTAATCCCTACTACAGGGTCATTGTGTGATTTTACAATCCCTCGTAGATTACGAGGTGAATTATAATCCTTATTGGGTCATGTAGCCATTTCATAAACCCTGTTTAGCCTTGAAAGACAACAAAAAAAACATCTTTGTTTATGACATTTTAACCTATCCGCTGATTGTTAGGAAATGCACTGATCACTCAAATATTAGCAGTTTGCCCTTCAGTTTGACAGGTAACTGACTTTGTCCAGGTTATTCTGATTCCACAGGCACTGCATAGACGTTATATGTTTGTAGGGTAGACTCTATGTAATGTATGCACTGCAGGGAGCAGCATCTCTCTATTAAATCACCATTGATGACAGCATTCAAAGCGCTCCCTAAACTGTACCTCTATGTCTAAAACGCTCTCAGCTCTGCCTGCGAGCTGACAGGTCTTCTGTGATAAGACACTGCCACCACATGGCCAATAATGGTAATACATGAAGGGCTTTATCAGGCTTTAGTTGGTTGATTGTCAATGAAGAAAGAAAGGTAACAGACCTCATACTGAGTGTGATATTGTAACCCTTTTTACACATTGACATAATTTTGTGAATGTACCTCACACCATATCATTATGAAGTCAAAGTCTGAAGGAGGTGTATGTTCATTGAATGTTTGAAGAATAATTGAGTGTTTGAAGGATACTTTAACTCAAAAAGCCCACATTGAAACGTGGGTCAGTGCTATCCGGATCCTTGGGACGTCCCTACCCTAAACCCTAAACCCTAACCCTACCCTAACCTTAACCATAACCTAACATTAACCATTAAACATTTCAACTTCAATGGGAGTAGGGATGTTCCAAGGATCCCGGATAGCACGGCCTTGAAACAGGGTTAGAGCTAATAGAATGGCTTTGGTTTGCTATATTATGATGCTCCGTAATGATATGTTGAGCAGCTGTTGTGGTCATTCTGTTCTGAGGAGGGTTGATTGGTTCTACTTCCTGTGGAAACTGGCTGGTTATGAAAGGCTGGGTCATGTGACCGGGTGGACAGGGATGATGACATCAGTCAGTAGCAGGTGTGGACACAGTCAATGTGCCCCAGGGTGATGAGTACTGTACTCTATGTTAATACTGACACACCCTGTTATGTCTGTCTGTCTGTCTGTCTGTATGTGGATGACCTCATTACCAGAGGTTCAGTATAAAGTGCTCTATTATTTTCCCAACAGCTGTGAGCTGTCTCTGTTGGTTTCAGCAGCCCTAGAGGACTTGTGATTGCAACCTGTATCTCACAACTTGTGCCTCCAGGTTTGTCGGTGAAGCTGAGCCCTGGACATACCAATAATGCCGATGACTCTTGAGAAATTATGTTCTGTTGGAAGGTACACTCTCATAAAAAAGGGTTCCAAAAGGGTTCTTTGGCTGTCCCCATAGGAGAACCCTTTTTGGTTCCAGGTAGAACCCTTTTGGGTTCTATGTAGAACCCTCTGTGGAAAGGATTCTATATGGAACCCAAAAGGGTTCTACCTGGAACCAAAAGGGTTCTACCTGGAACCAAAAATGGTTCTTCAAAGGGTTCTCCTATAGGGACAGCTGAAGAACCCTTTTAGGTTCTAGATGGCACCTTTTTTTTCTAAGAGTGTAGCAGTCAGTGGCGATTTTAACATGTAAATCTTGGTGGGGCAAACAAACCAAAAATGTTGGGGGATGCATGCCAGCAAAGCCACAACACAACTCAACACTAAACAATACATTAATTGCACTACGATGACAAACGGTGCCCACAAACTGTTAGGGCCTACATAAAGCTGTCCCAACAGCAGAGTCCCAACAGCAGTCCCAACACCTTACCACTGCTACACCTGGCTATCAGCGGAGCCTTGTCTGGCAGCGAAACAGTTCATTCAGCCTCATTTACTGCCTTTAAAAAAAATCATAGCTGTACACGGGGGGCCATTATGAAAAATGTATGCACTCACTAATTGTAAATCGCTCTGGATAAGAGCGTCTGCTAAATGACTAAAATGTCAATTGGATCACTAAAAAATATGGCTGACTCGCTTAAACAAATGTGGTTTCTACTGACAATTGAGATGTACAAACTATGCCATAAGCGGACGACAAGCGGATAAGAGGCAGTCTGTAATTTTGATTAAGACATTAATGAGCGAGCTAGGACGGACGTAGTCAATTTAACTATTTGTTCAGCACTTTTGAAATGTACAGCGACAGAATTCCAAACATGGGCCGTTCTTACAGTGTTCTCCCTGTGCACCAAGTCAGAACCGTAGGATAAATAAAGGGGGAATATAAGCAGACAGTGAAAGCTCTTACAATATTCTGTAATTACATTTCTCTAAAACAGGTTATAGGCTACATGTGCACCACCAAGTCAGAACAGTAGGCAAAATTAAGAGGGGAAAATAGACCAAATGATCAGGGTGAGACACATGGGCTACTAACAGCTTACTACACAACATACACTTAGTATTACTTTCTTAGCTACAGTATACATATCTCCCTGGCATATTACATAATTTATGCAGCAGCATACAATACATTTTTGCACTCACCTTGTTGTGCTGTGCTCACTTGAACAGGAAGGTGGCGCGGCGGTCCTTCGTGGGCAAATTCTGTCATCAAACTTTGTCATCAAAGTCTGGCATTCTCTGGATTTATGGTGCTTTTAAGACAACTGGGAACTCGGAAAAAAGCAAGGTCGAATCATGATGACATCAGTGATCTTCAGGTCGTAGCTCTAGAGATGCCCGAGTTCACGACTTACAATTCCGAGTTGGATGACCGTTCAAAACGTATTATCCCAGTTGGAGCTAGCTTTTTCCCAAGTTCCTAGTTGTCTTGAAATCAGTGAAGTCAGATTTCCCAGTTCCGAGTTAACAGTTGTTTTGAGCGCGGCAGAAATGTTGCTGGATTGACAGCATGGCCAATGTTGAATGTTTATCATTTTAAGCTTGGAAAAGAGACCCTTAAACCCAGACTTTGGACCACACAGCCACTCCACTGAATAACAGGCTAGTGATTGCTTTGCAATGCTTGCAGTTAGCCACTGATTCCTTCCAAACCACTCATTGTTGAATTTGCGATTTCCAACTTGTTGTGTAATGTTTATGTCAAATGGCCGATGAGCACCGATACATTTTATCTATAATTTCTCTTCATTATTTCTCTTCATATGACAAGGATTAAAAAGGATTTTCCAGTAGATTGTCGACTTGATTCATGATGATGACTACTAGCTAAGATTTTGAAAGTATGATATTGACATGATCAGTCCAATCAAAGCTACTGTAGATATAACGTGATTTGACATAATTTTATCTGTGGCCAATGACCTTGAGCCTTCTTGGATGGGTACCTCTAATGTAACTCTATGGCAGCACCCAAGGGGCTTGAATTTTCGACCTCTACCCTTAGATTTGGCGGTGAGGTAGTGTCCCCATGAGAGACAACACTGAGCCAATCACGGCACAACTAGAGGACATTACCAACCCCTACGCTCCGTATTTTCCGCTGGCTGCCCCACCACCACAGAAAACACTGAGCTAGGCTGAAACACCTGCATTTTGGAGCTGCCTTACTCAACAAAGCAAAAAAGAGACCATGTTTGTATGCGGCTTTATTAACTCAATTATTTTTATTTTATTTTAACATTGTTTGCAAACTGATATGTGACACGTATTAATGCCAAAATAACATGCAAAACAGGCAACCCCCCCAAAAATGTTATTTTATTTTATTTTTTGCAAAGAAATTGGGGCTCAAAACAGGTGCCCTGAATGACAGGTCGCCACTGGTAGCAGTGAAGATGCCAAAACAGAGTTATATTGCAGCTTTTTGACTGTAACACCAGTGTTACACTATTGCATACACCCTTATGTTATACTAGGGAAATTGTGTTTCCATAGCTAGGACTGACAGTGAGGACTTGTGAAAAGCAGAATCAACAAGCTCTGCATAATCAAAACAGTTGCTTTGTGAGAAGGTGTTAAAGTTCACAGTTAGCCATTGTTATGTAAATGAAAGCTGCAAAGTACAAGTGGCTTGGCTTTGGCCCCAAGTGAAACAGGTCCGCCGGAGCCATGGCCCAGTGAGGCACGGGTGCCGGCCTGCGTAGATGGAAACAGAAAAAGACTGAGTCTTTTGGGTAAAACACCGGGGTAAATCCTTAGTGGAAATGTGCCATATGTCTGATATATAGGTCTCTCTTAAGAAAGAGATATTCTGACCTCAATGGGACTTCCTGGTTAATTAGAAATAGACATTGCTGTGTGTGGTGTCCAGGACTTTAGAGGAAACAAATTGACTGTTGGTGACCTTTTGACTGACCTCTCACAGGAAGCCAAGAAGAAATACGACAAAGAGACAGAGAAATACTGTGCTGTACTGGAGAAGCACCTAAGTCTATCAGCAAAGAAGAAAGAAGCACATCTCCATGAAGTAAGTACATACCTTTCCCTTGCTGCAGTAGGTCCATGTTTACGTTTAAGTGTTCATGTGTTTGTGAGTTGACTCACTGTAATTCTGAGGTGATGCATGTCTGTGTGTGACCTGAACGTCAGTTCAAACAGAGTCACTTCACTGTGTGTGTGCCCTGAACGTCCGTTCAAACAGAGTCACGTCACTGTGTGTGTTGTGCAGGCAGACAGTCAGGTGGACCACGTGCGGCAGCATTTCTATGAGGTGTCTCTGGAGTACGTGTTCAAGGTGCAGGAAGTCCAGGAGAGGAAGATGTTTGACTTCGTAGAGCCGGTCAGTGAGAATGTCAACCGCCCTCAGCATCTGCTGTCTTTTACTGTATACTGCTTAGGGGTGCAAAATTCCGGTAACTTTCCTAAACTTCCCAGGTTCTCCAGAAATCCTGGTTGGAAGACGTATTTACTTTTGCAACCCTACTATCTTCCTGTACTCTGTACATTACTTACTGTTGACTGTACTATGTTACATACTACTGTTACTGTACTACTGTAATTACTATGTTACATTACTACTGTTACTGTACTACTGTTACTGTACTACTGTTACATTACTACTGTTACATTACTACTGTTACTGTACTACTGTTACTGTACTACTGTTACATTACTACTGTTACTGTACTACTGTTACTGTACTACTGTTACTGTACTACTGTTACATTACTACTGTTACATTACTACTGTTACTGTACTACTGTTACATTACTACTGTTACATTACTACTGTTACTGTACTACTGTTACATTACTACTGTTACATTACTACTGTTACTGTACTACTGTTACATTACTACTGTTACATTACTACTGTTACATTACTACTGTTACTGTACTACTGTTACTGTACTACTGTTACATTACTACTGTTACTGTACTACTTTACATTACTACTGTTACATTAACTATGTTACTACTGTTACTGTACTACTGTTACTGTACTACTGTTACATTACTACTGTTACATTACTACTGTTACATTACTACTGTTACATTACTACTGTTACTTACTACGGTTACATTACTACTGTTACATTACTACTGTTACTGTACTACTGTTACATTACTACTGTTACATTACTACTGTTACTGTACTACTGTTACATTACTACAGTTACATGACTACTGTTACATTACTACTGTTACATTACTACTGTTTGTACTATTACTGTATACTGTTACATATACTGTTACTGTACTACTTTACATTACTACTGTTACATTACTACTGTTACATTACTACTGTTACATTACTACTGTTACATTACTACAGTTACATGACTACTGTTACATTACTACTGTTACTGTACTACTGTTACATTACTACTGTTACATTACTACTGTTACTGTACTACTGTTACATTACTACAGTTACATTACTACTGTTACATTACTACTGTTACATTACTACTGTTACTGTACTACTGTTACTGTACTACTGTTACATTACTACTGTTACTGTACTACTTTTACATTACTACTGTTACATTACTACTGTTACTGTACTACTGTTACATTACTACTGTTACATTACTACTGTTACGTACTACTGTTACTTACTACTGTACATTACTACTGTTACTGTACTACTGTTACATTACTACTGTTACATTACTACTGTTACTGTACTACTGTTACATTACTACTGTTACTGTACTACTGTTACATTACTACTGTTACATTACTACTGTTACATTACTACTGTTACTGTACTACTGTTACATTACTACTGTTACTGTACTACTGTTACTGTACTACTGTTACATTACTACTGTTGCATTACTACTGTTACATTACTACTGTTACTGTACTACTGTTACTGTACTACTGTTACATTACTACTGTTACATTACTACTGTTACTGTACTACTGTTACATTACTACTGTTACATTACTACTGTTACTGTACTACTGTTACTGTACTACTGTTACTGTACTACTGCTTACATTACACGTTACTGTACTATGTTACATTACTACGTTACATTACTACTGTTACATTACTACTGTTACTGTACTACTGTTACATTACTACTGTTACTGTACTACTGTTACTGTACTACTGTTACTGTACAACTGTTACTGTACTACAGTTACATTACTACTGTTACTGTACTACTGTTACATTACTACTGTTACATTACTACTGTTACTGTACTACTGTTACTGTACTGTACTTACTTGTACATAAAACTGTACATCTCTGTTACTGTACTACTGTTACATTACTACTGTTACATACTACTGTTACTGTACTACTGTTACTGACTACTGTTACTACTACTGTTACTGTACTACTGTTACATTACTACTGTTACATTACTACTGTTACTGTACTACTGTTACTGTACTACTGTTACTTTACAACTGTTACATTACTACTGTTACTGTACTACTGTTACATTACTACTGTTACTGTACTACTGTTACATTACTACTGTTACTGTACTACTGTTACTGTACTACTGTTACATTACTAGTTACATTACTACTGTTACATTACTACTGTTACTGTACTACTGTTACTGTACTACTGTTACATTACTACTGTTACTGTACTACTGTTACTGTACTACTGTTACATTACTACTGTTACTGTACTACTGTTACATTACTACTGTACATTCTACTGTTACTATACTGTTACGTACTACGTTACATTACTACTGTTACTGTACTACTGTACTGTATACGGTTACATTACTACTGTTACTGTACTACTGTTACATTACTACTGTTACTGTACTACTGTTACATTACTACTGTTACTGTACTACTGTTACTTTACAACTTTCATGCTCAGTCACCTCATCTCTCTTTGACCCACACCGTCTACACAATGTACAGATGTAGGATCTTAATTTCAGCCAGCAGGAAAATAATCCTGCAGCAACAGGAAATGTGAATTATTACAGTATGTGGATTATAATTAACATACATTTTTGTAGGGGTTGATACATTTTTCGTGAGGAAAAATCAAGTCTGAAATTTCAAAGTGGAAATTACAAACTTCAGAAAGCTTTTTTAAACCTCAAATACAGTACAATTTCCTACATTTCAGGAAAGATCTCCTGCAACAGGATCATCAAATTAAGATCCTACATATGTAGCTTTAGAATGTAGCTGACAACAAGTACCTTTGAAAACAAATGACAGTAGATTAGGTTGATTTAATTTAATTGAGTTGAGAGGAATGTTTCTCAACCTTGTTTCCTTTCCCTGTCATCCTCTACATCCATTCTAGTTGCTGGCATTCCTTCAAGGGCTGTTTACTTACTACCATCATGGGTACGAGCTGGCCAAAGATTTCAACCACTTCAAGACAGACCTCACCATCAGCATTCAGAATGTAAGATACATGTTGATGCCATACATTACAGGCATGAGGTGCTGATCAAATTTCCTCTTTTGCCAGCCCAGTGGCATTTCAAGGCAATAGCCCTAACCCAACAACTGCAGACAATGGTGAATTGCTCAGAATGCAGGGTGGTAGGTGGGATGTTTCCATCATTCTGTCTCCTCTCCTTCCCTGTTCAGACACGGAACCGTTTTGAAAGCACACGGTCTGAGGTGGAGTGTCTGATGAGGAAGATGAAGGAGAACCCCCATGAACACAAGAGCATCAGCCATGACACCATGGAGGGATATCTGTTTGTACAGGAGAAACGTGAGTGTCCCGTCCTGCTCTCTGTCACTCTCACTCCTTTCTCGCTCTTGCTCTCACTGTCTGACACACACACACACACACACACACACACACACACACACACACACACACACACACACACACACACACACACACACACACACACACACACACACACACACACACACACACACACACACACTTTTCTCTCTCATGCTGCAATAAGGTCACGTATCATATCACTACCATTTGGAAAAGCGTGGTGGTGGTGAAATTACGACTACCGCTTTAGTACCAGTGGTGTTGTTGTACATATACAGTGGCTTGCGAAAGTATTCACCCCCCTTGGCATTTTTCCTATTTTGTTGCCTTACAACCTGGAATTAAAAAGAGTTTGTATCATTTGATTTACACAACATGCCTACCACTTTGAAGATGCAAAATATTATTTATTGTGAAACACACAAGAAATAAGACAAAAAAAACAGGAAACTTGAGCGTGCATAACTATTCACCCCCCCCAAAGTCAATACTTTGTAGAGCCACCTTTTTGCAGCAATTACAGCTGCAAGTCTCTTGGGGTATGTCTCTATAAGCTTGGCACATCTAGACACTGGGATTTTTGCCCATTCTTCAAGGCAAAACTGCTCCAGCTCCTTCAAGTTGAATGGGTTCCGCTGGTGTACAGAAATTGTTAAGTCATACCACAGATTCTCAATTGGATTGAGGTTTGGGCTTTGACTAGGCCATTCCAAGACATTGAAATGTTTCCCCTTAAACCACTCAAGTGTTGCTTTAGCAGTATGCTTAGAGTCATTGTCCTGCTGGAAGGTGAACCTCCATCCCAGTCTCAAATCTCTGGAAGACTGAAACAGGTTTCCCTCAAGAATTTCCCTGTATTTAGCGCCATCCATCATTCCTTCAATTCTGACCAGTTTCCTAATCCCTGCCAATGGAAAAACATCCCCACATCATGATGCTGCCACCACCATGCTTCACTGTGGGGATGGTGTTCTCGGGGTGATGAGAGGTGTTGGGTTTGCGCCAGACATAGCGTTTTCCTTGATGTCCAAAAAGCTCAATTTTAGTCTCATCTGAACAGAGTACCTTCTTCCATATGTTTGGGGAGTCTCCCACATGCCTTTTGGCGAACACCAAACGTGTTTGCTTATTTATTTCTTTAAGCAATGTCTTTTTTCTGGCCACTCTTCCGTAAAGCCCAGCTCTGTGGAGTGTATGGCTTAAAGTGGTCCTATGGACAGATACTCCAATCTCCACTGTGGAGCTTTGCAGCTCCTTCAGGGTTATCTTTTGACTCCTTGTTGCCTCTCTGATTAATGCCCTCCTTGCCTGGTCCGTGAGTTTTGGTGGCCGGCCCTCTCTTGGCATGTTTGTTGTGGTGCCATTTTCTTTAAAAAAATGTAATAATGGATTTAATGGTGCTCCGTGGGATGTTCAAAGTTTCAGATATTTTTTATAACCCAACCCTGATCTGTACTTCTCCACAACTTTGTCCCTGACCTGTTTGGAGAGCTCCTTGGTCTTCATGGTGCCGCTTGCTTGGTGGTGCCCCTTGCTTAGTGGTGTTGCAGACTCTGGGGCCTTTCAGAACAGGTGTATATATACTGAGATCATGTGACAGATCATGTGACACTTAGATTGCACACAGGTGGACTTTATTTAACCAATTATGTGACTTCTGAAGGTAATTGGTTGCACCAGATCTTATTTAGGGGCTTCATAGCAAAGGGGGTGAATACATGTACACACACCACTTTTCCGTTATTTATTTTTTAGAAATATTATAAATAAGTTATTTTTCATTTCACTTCACCAATTTGGAGTATTTTGTGTATGTCCATTACATGAATTCCAAATAAAAATTCATTTAAATTACAGGTTGTAATGCAACAAAATAGGAAAAACGCCAAGGGGGATGAATACTTTTGCAAGGCACTGAAGATTAAAATGTCCCCATAGAAACAACAAGAGTAATTGTATTCAGGATGAGAAAGTCACGCTCCAAGAGGTGACAAGGGCATTGAGCGTGTGCAGTAATAAATTGGTAACCGACACCATTTTTTAATTTCTCCCCACCCATCTGCTACTCTCTCTCATTCTCTCTCTGCTTCTCTCTCTGCTTCTCTCTCTCCTTCTCTCTCTGCCTCTCTCTCTGCTTCTCTCTCTGCTTTTCTCTCTGCATCTCTCTCTGCTTCTGTCTCTGCTTCTCTCTCTGCTTCTTGCTGCTTCTCTCTCTGCTTCTCTCCGCTTCTCTCTTTCCTTCTCTTTCTGCTTCTCTCTCTCTGCCTCTCTCTCTGCTTCTCTCTCCATTTCTCTCTCTCCTTCTCTCTCTGCTTCTCTCTCCTCTTCTCTCTCTCTGCTTCTCTCTCTGCTCCTCTCTCTGCTTCTCTCTCCTTCTCTCTCTGCTTCTCTCTCTGCTTCTCTCTCTACATCTCTCTCTACATCTCTCTCCGCTTCTCTCTCCGCTTCTCTCTCCGCTTCTCTCTCCGCTTCTCTCTCCTTCTCTCTCTGCTTCTCTCTCTGCTTCTCTCTCTGCTTCTCTCTCTGCTTCTCTCTCTGCTTCTCCCTCTGCTTCTCTCGCTGCGTCTCTCTCTGTGTCTATCTCTGCATCTCTCTCCGCTTCTCTCTCTGCATCTCTCTCTGCATCGCTCTCTGCATCTCTCTCCGCTTCTCTCTCTGCATCTCTCTCCGCTTCTCTCTCCTTCTCTCTCTGCTTCTCTCTCCTTCTCTCTCTGCTTCTCTCTCTGCTTCTCGCTCAGGTTCTTTCGTGTCAACCTGGGTCAAGTACTACTGCACCTACCATCGAGAGCCCAAACGAGTCACCATGGTCCTGTTTGACCAGAAGTCTGGAGGCAAAGTGGTGCGTTGTCTGTTTGTTTCTACCCAGAATGCCACTCTACCATGCCGTGGGACCATGTACAGTTGAAGTCGGAAGTTTACAAACACCTTAGCCAAATACAGTTAAACTCAGTTTTCCACAATTCCTGACATTTAATCCTAGTAAAAAATGCCCTGTTTTAGGTCAGTTAGGATCACCACTTTATTTTAAGAATGTGAAATGTCAGAATAATAGTAGAGAGAATGATTTATTTCAGCTTTTATTTATTTCATCACATTCCCAGTGTGTCAGAAGTTTACATACACTCAATTAGTATTTGGTAGCATTGCCTTTAAATTGTTTACCTTGGGTCAAACGTTTCGGGTAGCCTTCCACAAGCTTCCCACAATAATTTGGGTGAATTTTGGCCCATTCCTCCTGACAGAGCTGGTGTAACTGAGTCAGGTTTGTAGGCCTCCTTGCTCGCACATGCTTTTTCAGTTCTGCCCACAAATGTTCTAAAGGATTGAGGTCAGGGCTTTGTGATGGCCACTCCATTACCTTGACTTTGTTGTCCTTAAGCCATTTTGCCACAACTTTGGATGTATGCATGTGGTCATTGTCCATTTGGAAGACCCATTTGCGACCAAGCTTTAACTTCCTGTCTTGAGATGTTGCTTCAATATATCCACATAATTTTCCTTCCTCATGATGCCATCTATTTTGTGAAGTGCACCAGTCCCTCCTGCAGCAAAGCACCCCCACAGCATGATGCTGCCACCCCCATGCTTCACGGTTGGGATGGTGTTCTTCGGCTTGCAAACCCTCCCTTTTTCTCCAAACATAACGATGGTCATTATGGCCAAACAGTTCTATTTTTGTTTCATCAGACCAGAGGACATTTCTCCAAAAAGTATGATCGTTGTCCCCATGTACAGTTGCAAACGGTAGTCTGGCTTTTCTATGGCGGTTTTGGAGCAGTGGCTTCTTCCTTGCTGAGCGGCCTTTCAGGTTATGTCGATATAGGACTCGTTTGACTGTGGATATAGATACTTTTGTACCTGTTTCCTCCAGCATCTTCACAAGGTCTTTTGCTGTTGTTCTGGGATTGATTTTCACTTTTCACACCAAAGTATGTATATCTCTAGGAGACAGAACGCGTCTCCTTCCTGAGCGGTATGACGGCTGCGCGGTCCCATGGTGTTTATACTTGCGTACTATTGTTTGTACAGATGAACGTGGTACCTTCAGGCGTTTGGAAATTGCTCCCAAGGATGAACTTTTTTTCTAAGGTCTTAGCTGATTTATTTTTATTTTCCCATGATGTCAAGTGAAGAGGCACTGAGTTTGAAGGTAGGCCTTGAAATACATCCACAGGTACACCTCCAATTGACTCAAATGATGTCAATTAGCCTATCAGAAGCTTCTAAAGCCATGACATAATTTTCTGGAATTTTCCAAGCTGTTTAAAGGCACAGTCAACTTAGTGTATGTAAACTTCTGACCCACAGGAATTGTGATACAGTGAATTATAAGTGAAATAATCTGTCTGTAAACAATTGTTGGAAAAATTACTTGTGTCATGCACTTGCCAAAACTATAGTTTGTTAACAAGAAATTTGTGGAGTGGTTGAAAAACGAGTTTTAATGACTCCAACCTAAGTGTATGTAAACTTCCAACTTCAACTGTAGTTGTTGGAGCAGAAAGACAGAGAGAGAGAGAGAGAGAAGAGAGAGAAATAAATGTTGGCATCGGTCGCCTGCTTGTTTTTGCCTGTCGGCGACGATGCAGGGCTCTTATCTTGGCATGGGCGAGAGGCCAGAACAGCTGCCTCCGGTAAGACAAGCGGTGACGGTGTGTATTTGTAAATAACAGCTGGTGCACGAAATCTAATATTAAGGAAGTCTCAAGGTTTTGCTCGCCTGAGGTAGTGTATCTCATGATAAGCTGTAGACCACACTATTAACCAAGAGAGTTTTCATCTATATTTTTTGTTGCTGTCTATTTACCACCACAAACCAATGCTGGCGCTAAGACCACACTCAATGAGCTGTATAAGGCCATAACTAAACAGGAAAACGCTCATCCAGAGGCAGCGCTCCTAGTGGCCGGGGACTTTAATGCAGGGAAACTTAAATCCGTTTTACCTCATTTCTACCAGCATGTTAAATTTGCAACCAGAAGAAAAAAAAAGTCTAGACCACCTTTACTCCACACACAGAGACGCGTACAAAGCTCTCCCTCGCCCTCCATTTGGCAAATCTGACCATAACTCTATCCTCCTAATTCCTGCTTACAAGCAAAAACTAAAGCAGGAAGCACCAGTGACTCTGTCAATAAAGAAGTGGTCAGATGACGCAGATGCTAAGCTACAGGACTGTTTTGCTAGCACAGATTGTAATATGTTCCGGGATTCTTCCGATGGCATCGAGGAGTACACCTCATCAGTCACTGGCTTCATCAATAAGTGCATCTATGACGTCGTCCCCACAGTGACCGTACGTACATACCCCAACCAGAAGCCATGGATTACAGGCAACATCATGACTGAGCTAAAGGGTAGAGCTGCCACTTTCAAGGAGCGGGACTCTAACCGGATGTGGCAGGGCTTGCAAACTATTATGGACTACAAAGGGAAGCACAGCCACGAGCTGCCCAGTGACACGAGCCTACCAGACGAGCTAAATTACTTCTATGCTCGCTTCGAGGCAAGCAACCCTGAAGCATGCATGAGAGCATCAGCTGTTCCGGACGACTGTGTGATCAAGCACTGAGATGCAGTGCCTTAGAACGCTGCGCCACTCGGGAGCCCAAAATTACTACATCACATTGTTTATCTGGGTCTTGGGCTGTTGCTCTTACGTCTATGGTCCACCTGTCTCCTTCTTTTGTTATCTTGATATCACAGTTACTGTTGTCCCATGTGGCTTCCCCATTATCCCGGTGATGGGCCCACCCACACAGCCTAACATCTGACCCTCGCTCTTTAATAAGGAATTCTTTCTGTATTTCCTTCATGGTTCTTGCTTGTGCAGGAATGAACGTTCTAATCCTATCTGTTTCTTGTCTTTGTCTTGTCTCTGTGTTTTTCACTGCTGGTGTGCTAATACTGGTGGGAGGCTCTTCTCTTTTAGTTCTGACTATAGGTCCTTCTCCTCCCATTAGTCGTTTCGCTTGATTTATGTCCATTATTTTAGTAGGCTCACTACCAACTGGTTTTCCTAGTATGCTTGGTCCTTGGGTTGGGCCCCATATGTATTCTGTTTTTACACAATGGTCTTTCAGACACCTTACCCTAATTGTGGCATACCCTTCTATCTGACATCTCTTTATCCTGGGCCATCCTCTGTGCAACACTTCCTCCTGATTCATAATGGTTATTTGTCCTGGCTCCGTTGGTCTATCCTTTGTGTACCAAATTGTAGTAGGCAAGTCTAATATAACTTTTCCTAGTTTTACAGCTATGGTTACAAGAGCCATTCCACAATTATCCAACTGCTCCAGCCTCCAGTGTTCGTTACTGGATCTAGACAAAGGCAGAGAAGTCAATTGTGGGGAAGTCTGGGGGTTCTGGGTGGTCCTGGAGGTCTGGAAGGTATTAGAGGTCTGGAAGGTCTTGGGGGTCTGGAAGGTCTTGGGGGTCTGGAAGGTCTGTCCCTCGACTGAGGGAATCAACCAGAGCATGTAACTCATCAACAGCATTCCCACTGCCCGCTGCCCTCTTCCCCCATCCTTTGATTTTGTCTGTCTTCAGCAGAGATTGGGGATTATGTTTGAGTTTCCATCCCCTCTCCTTCTGTTCCTGTTTCCTCTTCTTCCCTATCGGGGGTTTCAGCTTCCTCATCGCCAAGTCGCTGTTCCCTTTGTGGTACTCTGGTGCAATGGTTTAGGTGGTACCAAGTAGTGCTTCCTTCCACCTGTATGGCCATAGGCATAGCTCAAACCACCTTGTATGGACCTTCTCGCCTGGGCTGGTTCCACTTCCTTCGGAAGACCCTGACGTACACTTGGTCCCCTGGCACCACCGGACCGGACACCTCTGGTCCTGGCTCTGGTTCTCGTCTTTTTTCCTGGAGATAAACACTTTTATGTATAGCAGTTAGTTGTTCCATCTCTAATTATTCAAGTGAGGGACCTTTATAGGGTCCTCTCAGAACTGGCACTGGCATGGGTCGACCCGGGGTTAGGTGCGTGTTTCTGTTAGTTTGCATGTGATAGATCATTAAGGCAACCGGTAATGCATCCACCCAGTTAAGCTTTGCACTAGCACAGATTTTATTAAGTTTAGCCTTGAGGGTTCCATTTATTCTTGCAACTGTGGGTGATACACACATCCCAGTCTTTGCTTTATCCTTAGCTGTTGTAATACTTGTTTTACTGTTTTCTGAATAAATGTTGACCCATTGTCTGAAGTGATTTCTGTCGGTATTCCAAACCTGGGTATCACTTCTCTGGTTAGGAATTTGATTACTGTTCCTGATCCTAGGTCTACTGATGGTACTGCTTCTACCCATCTACTGAACCTATCTATAATTACAAGCATGTATCTTTTTCCATTCACTTTCTTAATCATATCCACGTAGTCTATGACCAGGTGTCGAAATGGCCCCTCTGTGACCTATAGGCGTGGTTATGCCCTTGCGCACATTGTTTTGCGCGCAAACTTCACATTTTGCCAATGTATCATCTACCATTACCTATAGATATGATGACCAGTATCATTGCTGTTTAATCTTCCTTATCACTTCTCCCCTTCCACAATGGTCAAAACCATGCGCATCTGTTATTAACAGGTTAAGTAATATGGTTGGTGCTACAATAGTACCCTCATGGGATCTCCATAACCCTGTCACATCTTTCGTAGCTCCTCTTTGGTGCCACTTTGTCTGTTTGTAGGGTCCTGCCCTTTCCTGCATTCTAATGATGTCATCTAACTGAGGTGCAGATTCTACAATGACCATTGGTGCTAGCACCGGGCAATGCATTTGGAGGCCTGTTAAGCAGCTTAATCTGCTGCATTATTGCCACTGATAACAAATTCATTGCCTTTCTTGTGAGCCTGACACTTAACTATAGCCAGCCGTGTCGGGTACCTTAGTGCTGTCATATTTTTCACAATTTGCTTGTGATGTTGTATAGGCGTGCCATCACTTTTCCTGAACCCCCGTTGTTTCCAAACTGCCCCAAACAAGTGACACACACCATGTTTATTATTTATTTATTTATTTCAACTTTATTTAACCAGGTAAGCCAGTTGAGAACAAGTTCTCATTTACAACTGCGACCTGGCCAAGATAAAGCAAAGCAGTGTGATAAAAACAACAACAACACAGAGTTACATATGGAATAAACAAAAACGTACAGTCAATAACACAATAGAAAATAGAAAATCTATATACAGTGTGTGCAAATGTAGTAAGTTCTGGAGGTAAGGCAATAAATAGGCCATAGTGCAAAATAATTACAATTTAGTATTAACACTGGAGTGAAAGATGTGAAGAAGATGATGTGCAAATAGAGATACTGGGGTGCAAATTAGCAAAATAAATAACAATGTAAATAACAATATGGGGATTAGGTAGTTGGGTGGGCTAATTACAGATGGGCTGTGTACAGGTACAGTGATCGGTAAACTGCTCTGACAACTGATGCTTAAAGTTAATGAGGGAGATAAGTGTCTCCAGCTTCAGAGATTTTTGTAGTTCGTTCCAGTCATTTGCAGCAGAGAACTGGAAGGAATGGTGGCCAAAGGAGGTGTTGGCTTTGGGGATGACCAGTGAGATATACCTGCTGGAGCGCATACTACGGGTGGGTGTTGTTATGGTGACCAATGAGCTAAGATAAGGCGGGGATTTGCCTAGAAGTGATTTATAGAGCCAGTGGGTTTGGCGACGAATATGTAGTGAGGGCCAGCCAACGAGAGCGTACAGGTCACAATGGTGGGTAGTATATGGGGCTTTGGTGACAAAACGGATGGCACTGTGATAGACTACATCCAATTTGCTGAGTTGAGTGTTGGAAGCTATTTTGTAAATGACATTGCCGAAGTCAAGGATCGGTAGGATAGTCAGTTTTACGAGGGCATGTTTAGCAGCATGAGTGAAGGAGGCTTTGTTGCGAAACAGGAAGCTGATTATAGATGTAACTTTGGATTGGAGATGCTTAATGTGAGTCTGGAAGGAGAGTTTACGATCTAACCAGACACCTAGGTATTTGTAAGTCAAACCCGCCGAGAGTAGTGATTCTAGTCGGGCGGGCGGGTGCAAGCAGCGTTCGATTGAAGAGCATGCATTTAGTTTTACTAGCGTTTTAAGAGCAGTTGGATGCCAAAGAAGGAGGGTTGTATGGCATTGAAGCTCGTTTGGAGGTTTGTTAACACAGTGTGATGTAGGGCTGAACGATTAATTGCATTCGCGATAATATCGCGATTTGACTGAACGCGATTTTCTAATCGCAACGTGCGCGATTTGAGGTGGTCACGTGACGCGACTTTTCATGCTGTCCAGCGCAATGGCCTCTTGCTCGACGGAACAGTCAGAAACTGACACAGCTGATACTTTAATATCGAAGAGGAACAGCACGTCGGTGGTGTGGAACTATTTTGGTTTTAAAAAAGAAGATGCTGAGCAGCGTCAGGTGTTGTGCAGAGCATGCCGTGCTCCGATTGCTACTTCACGGGGTAACACTACAAACCTGTTTCAGCACTTAAAAAAATACCACAAATCAATGCATGACAGTTGTATGACCAAAATGCCGAGCATCAGTGCGCGAGACAAGCCAAATACCTCAAGACAGGGATCACTGACAGAAATGTTCGAAAGTGTCACTCCGTATGAACGTAATTCAAAACGGCACGGAGAAATCACTCGGACAATAACCGAGTTCATAGCCAAAGATATGATGCCTCTCAGTCGCAGAGGCAGAGATAAACAATTACCTGATGACTCCTACCATTGATGGAGAAGATGATCCATTGGCTTGGTGGAGGGTGCACAAGATCAGCTACCCACAGTTGTGCACCATGGCACGCAAGTATCTTTGTGTACCTGCTACAAGCGCTCCCTCAGAGCGTCTTTTTAGCACAGGAGGGAATATTGTGACTTGCACTCGCTCATCCTTGAAGCCAGAAAAAGTCAATATTCTGGTTTTCTTAGCAAAAAACCTGTGAGCCACTGAGAACAGAACTGTTGGATAAGTATGGCTGGCAGTGCCATACTCGTAGTGAACTTTAGTCTGTGTGGTGTGTTATTGTTGTGTACTTGAGATAGGTGAGGCTCATCTATTTTATATTATAATATTCAAATCGTTTATAAAAAATAGTTTGTCTAAATTAAAAGTGCATTTCTCATTTTTTATTTATAACTTTATTTACTTTGATTTTACAAAATATTTTCAAAGCAAATTCCTTGTTTCAGTTGTGTGAAATGTTACTGACTTGGGAGCAGTAAGATACATACAATTTAAAATTATTTTTTTCTTAAGACTGTACCTTTTGCACACAGTGTTTACAAAGTTCATGCCTTTGTTTAAATTATTTAAATGCAGGGTGGCAAAGCCACAGATGTTTCTGTAATGAGCAGTTCAATAAAAATGTCATTTATTTCAAGTCATACATGTTTGAATTTAATTCTAACAAATAGACCCAGCCTATGGGAAAGAACATTTCACACTAAATGTATATACTATTGTGTTGGTCATATTTAAATCATTCATTATGTTTTGTAGGGGAAAAAGGATAAATAAATTAAATCGCATATTAAATCGCAATCGCAATATTGGGGGCAAAAAATCGCAATTAGATTATTTTCCAAAATCGTTCAGCCTTAGTGTGATGTCTGCGTAGTGGTGTCGTCTGCGTAGAGGTGGATCTGAGAGTCACCAGCAGCAAGAGCGACATCATTGATATACACAGCGAATAGAGTCGGCCCGAGAATTGAACCCTGTGGCACCCCCATAGAGACTGCCAGAAGTCCAGACAACAGGCCCTCCGATTTGACACATTGAACTCTATCTGAAAAGTAGTTGGTGAACCAGGCGAGGCAGTCAGTTGAGAAACCAAGGCCATTTAGTCTGCCAATAAAAATGCGGTGATTAACAGAGTCAAAAGCCTTGGCCAGGTCGATGAAGACTGCTGCACAGTACTGTCTTTTATCAATCGCGGTTATTATATCGTTTAGGACCTTGAGCATGGCTGAGGTGCACCCATGACCAGCTCGGAAACCAGATTGCATAGCGGAGAAGGTACTGTGGGATTCGAAGTGGTCGGTGATCTGTTTGTTAACTTGGCCTTCAATGGATATAGGTCTGTAATAGTTTGGATCTAGAGTGTCACCCCCTTTGAAGAGGGGGATGACCGAGGCAGCTTTCCAATCTCTGGGGATCTCAGACTATACGAAAGAGAGGTTGAACAGGCTTTAAGTTCAGCCAGTTGGGCTGAACATGGCTGTGGGCAATGTATCTGTCATTACTTCTCTAAATTCCCTTCCTTGTTTCTTCACTACTGCAAATCAGCCTGATTTCCAGTGTGGTCTTTGTAACAAGACCCGTCTACAAAATAGTCCTACACATAGCCATTTCCCAGATCGGGCAATGGTGTTGACTCTAAGTCTGGTCTAAGCTGGGTGAATGTCAATGATTCTGCCACACAGTTGTGTGCTAAACCCTCGAATTCTAACGGAATTCTTTCTGCCGGGTTTACTGTACTAAAGCGTTTAATGGCGACATCTGGGTATGTTAATAGGGTCATGTATTCTAAAGTTCTTGCATTGGTAAGCACACATTTTCCCTGTTCTATTAGCTCCACTATTTTATGATGTGTGGACATTACTATAGTGTAGCCCATAGTAATGGTGGATGCTTTGTCGAATGCATACTGTAGATCGGTTAGACCCTGATAGCAGGGTGGATATCCCTGCGCCACAGAATCCAGTCTGGTGCTATAGTATACAATAGGCTGCTTCCGTCGCCCACTTCAGGACTCCTGCATAAGAACGGCTGCTGCAAGGTATTGTCGGATATTATTCATTCTAATCAGACAGGTTTTTTACATGGAAGATACATTGGAGATAATAATAATAATAATAATAATAAGCCATTTAGCAGACGCTTTTATCCAAAGCGACTTACAGTCATGCGTGCATACATTTTTGTGTATCGGTGGTCCCGGGGATTGAACCCACTACCTTGGCGTTACAAGCGCCGTGCTCTACCAGCTGAGCTACAAGGCAAGTATTGGAAACAATAGAACACTATGGAAAATATGGGAAACCAGGCCTGCTATTCATAGTTCGACTGGGGTTTATATATAAATGCCTGGAGCATTTCAATTTTGGAGAATCTCTTATAAAATGGGTCAAAATCATGTATAGTAACCCTAGGTGTAAAATAGTAAATAATGGCTATTTCTCAGAAAGTTTTAAACTGTCAAGAGGAGTGAAACAAGGTTGTCCACTATCGGCATATCTTTTTATTGTGGCCATCGAGATGTTAGCTATTAAAATCAGATCCAATAATAATATCAGAGGATTAGAAAAATAGGGCTTAAAAACAAAGGTGTCATTGTACGCTGATGATTCATGTTTTCTTTTAAATCCACAACTAGAATCCCTCCACAGCCTCATAGAGGATCTAGATACATTTTCTAACCTCTCTGGATTACAACCAAATTATGATAAATGTACTATATTACGTATTGGATCACAAAAAAATAAAAAATTTACATTACCATGTAGTTTACCAATAAAATGGTCTGATGGTGATGTGGATATACTCGGAATACATATCCTAAAGGAAATAAATGATCTCACTTCAATACATTTTAATAGAAAGTTAGCAAAAATAGATAAGATCTTACTACCATGGAAAGGAAAATACCTGTCAATTTGTGGAAAAATCACCCTGATTAACTCAGTATTATCCCAGTTTACCTATTTGCTTATGGTCTTGCCTACGCCTAGCGAACCGTTTTTTAAATTATATGAGAAAAAAATATTCAATTTTATTTGGAACGGCAAGCCAGACAAAATTAAAAGGGCATATTTATATAATGAATATGAATTCGGAGGACAGAAATTATTAAATATTAAAGCATTAGACCTATCACTAAAAGCTTCAGTCATTCAAAAGTTATACTTAAATCCGAACTGGTTCTCAAGCAAATTAGTAAGATTGTCTCACCCAATGTTCAAGAAAGGCCTTTTTCCCTTTATTCAGATTACAACAACTCATTTGCAGTTATTTGAAAAGGAAATAATCTCCCAAATATCACTATTTCTAAAACAAGCCATAGAAAGTTGGTTGTAATTTCAATTTAATCCTCCAGAAACGACAGAAGAAATAATGCAACAAATATTGTGGTTAAATTCAAATATACTAATTGACAAAAAAAACTTTATTTTTTGACAGAATGTTTAAAAAAGTTATAATCTTCGTAAATGATATAATCGGTAGGACTGGTGGAGTTATGTTGCACATGCAGCTAACAAAAACATATGGAAATGTCTGCTCTACCCAAAATTACAACCAAATAATTGCAGCCTTACCGCAAAAGTGGAAGAGGAAAGTGGAAGGGGGAGAAAGTAAGGAACTTGTCTGTCGGCCTTGCATTAAAGAACATAATTGGTTAAGGAAAACTGTGATAAATAAAAAAGTATATCAGTTTCACTTAAGGACCAAAGGATTGACAGCCGTCCCATATAGATTGCAAAATAGTTGGGAAGAGATCTTTGACGTACCGATCCCATGACATAGTGTTTATGAACTGACACGCAAAACGACACCGGATTCAAAAATTAGAATCTTTCAATTTAAATTATTATATAAAATTCTTGCAACCAATAGAATGTTATTTATATGGGGGATACAATCTTCCCAGCTCTGCAGATTTTGCTGTGAAGAGACAGAATCATTAGATCATTTGTTTTGGTTCTGTCCATTTGTAGCTTGTTTTTGGACACAGGTCCAGGAATGGCTAAAGGATTGCAATATTTACCTGGAGCTAACCCTGCAGATAGCATTACTGGGTGATCTGAAAAGTCATAGTCAATCGATCAAGAATATAATAATACTTTTAGCAAAAATGTTTATTTTTAATTCACAATCTGTAGAAGCAATGAGAATAGAAAGGTTCAGAACTTTTGTAAAACATCACAGTACGGTTGAAATATATATGGCAAATAGAAATCCTATATGGATGGTGTTAAGAGATAGATGGGAGGTATTGAATAGAGTTGAAGGATGGGGCTAATAACAAATAACAACAAATAATAACAAAGATAGCTAATAATGTAAGCATACTGTGTCCATAATAAGTATATAGGTTGTATGTTGGGAGCTTTTGGGAAAAAGCACAGTTAGAAAGATATGGCATATAGAAGCAAACCGGATGGACATCATGAAAATGATCGGAGAGGTTGAGAGTAGAAGAAGTTCAGGAGCAAAAAAAATAATATATATATATACAGTGGGGAAAACAAGTATTTGATACACTGCCGATTTTGCAGGTTTTCCTACTTACAAAGCATGTAGAGGTCTGTAATTTTTATCATAGGTACACTTCAACTGTGAGAGAGGGAATCTAAAACAAAAATCCAGAAAATCACATTGTATGATTTGTAAGTAATTAATTTGCAGGACATAAGTATTTGATACATCAGAATAGCAGAACTTAATATTTGGTACAGAAACCTTTGTTTGCAATTACAGAGATCATACGTTTCCTGTAGGTCTTGACCAGGTTTGCACACACTGCAGCAGGGATTTTGGCCCATTCCTCCATACAGACCTTCTCCAGATCGTTCAGGTTTTGGGGCTGTCGCTGGGCAATATGGACTTTCAGCTCCCTCCAAAGATTTTCTATTGGGTTCAGGTCTGGAGACTGGCTAGGCCACTCCAGGACCTTGAGATGCTTCTTACGGAGCCACTCCTTAGTTGCCCTGGCTGTGTGTTTCGGGTCATTGTCATGCTGGAAGACCCAGCCACGACCCATCTTCAATGCTCTTACTGAGGGAAGGAGGTTGTTGGCCAAGATCTCGTGATACATGGCCCCATCCATCCTCCCCTCAATACGGTGCAGTCGTCCTGTCCCCTTTGCAGAAAAGCATCCCCAAAGAATGATGTTTCAACCTCCATGCTTCACGGTTGGGATGGTGTTCTTGGGGTTGTACTCATCCTTCTTCTTCCTCCAAACACGGCGAGTGGAGTTTAGACCAAAAAGCTCTATTTTTGTCTCATCAGACCACATGACCTTCTCCCATTCCTCCTCTGGATCATCCAGATGGTCATTGGCAAACTTCAGACGGGCCTGGACATGTGCTGGCTTGAGCAGGGGGACCTTGCGTGCGATGCAGGATTTTAATCCATGACAGCGTAGTGTGTTACTAATGGTTTTCTTTGAGACTGTGGTCCCAGCTCTCTTCAGGTCATTGACCAGGTCCTGCCATGTAGTTCTGGGCTGATCCCTCATCTTCCTCATGATCATTGATGCCCCACGAGGTGAGATCTTACATGGAGCCCCAGACCGAGGGTGATTGACCGTCATCTTGAACTTCTTCCATTTTCTAATAATTGCGCCAACAGTTGTTGCCTTCTCACCAAGCTGCTTGCCTATTGTCCTGTAGCCCATCCCAGCCTTGTGCAGGTCTACAATTTTATCCCTGATGTCCTTACACATCTCTCTGGTCTTGGCTATTGTGGAGAGGTTGGAGTCTGTTTGATTGAGTGTGTGGACAGGTGTCTTTTATACAGGTAACGAGTTCAAACAGTTGCAGTTAATACAGGTAATGAGTGGAGAACAGGAGGGCTTCTTAAAGAAAAACTAACAGGTCTGTGAGAGCCGGAATTCTTTTTTTATTTTATTTTATTTTTTATTTTTTTATTTAACCTTTATTTAACCAGGTAAGCCAGTTGAGAACAAGTTCTCATTTACAACTGCGACCTGGCCAAGATAAAGCAAAGCAGTGCAATAAAAACAACACAGAGTTACATATGGGGTAAAAAAAACATAAAGTCAAAAATACAACAGAAAATATATATACAGTGTGTGCAAATGTAGCAAGTTATGGAGGTAAGGCAATAAATAGGCTATAGTGCAAAATAATTACAATAGTATTAACACTGGAATGCTAGATGTGCAAGAGATTATGTGCAAATAGAGATACTGGGGTGCAAAAGAGCAAAATAAATAACAATATAGGGATGAGGTAGTTGGGTGGGCTAATTTCAGATGGGCTGTGTACAGGTGCAGTGATCGGTAAGGTGCTCTGACAACTGATGCTTAAAGTTAGTGGGGGAGATAAGAGTCTCCAGCTTCAGAGATTTTTGCAATTCGTTCCAGTCATTGGCAGCAGAGAACTGGAAGGAATGGCGGCCAAAGGAGGTGTTGGCTTTGGGAATGACCAGTGAGATATACCTGCTGGAGTGCAGACTACGGGTGGGTGCTGCTATGGTGACCAATGAGCTAAGATAAGGCAGGGATTTGCCTAGCAGTGATTTATAGATGGCCTGGAGCCAGTGGGTTTGACGACGAACATGTAGTGAGGACCAGCCAACAAGAGCGTACAGGTCACAGTGGTGGGTAGTGTATGGGGCTTTGGAGACAAAACGAATGGCACTGTGATAGACTACATCCAATTTGCTGAGTAGAGTGTTGGAAGCTATTTTGTAAATGACATCGCCGAAGTCAAGGATCGGTAGGATAGTCAGTTTTACGAGGGCATGTTTGGCAGCATGAGTGAAGGAGGCTTTGTTGCGAAATAGGAAGCCGATTCTAGATTTAACTTTGGATTGGAGATTCTTTATGTGAGTCTGGAAGGAGAGTTTACAGTCTAACCAGACACCTAGGTATTTGTAGTTGTCCACATACTCTAGGTCAGACCCGTCGAGAGTGGTGATTCTAGTCGGGTGGGCGGGTGCCAGCAGCGTTCGATTGAAAAGCATGCATTTAGTTTTACTAGTGTTTAAGAGCAGTTGGAGGCTACTGAAGGAGTGTTGTATGGCATTGAAGCTCGTTTGGAGGTTTGTTAACACAGTGTCCAATGAAGGGCCAGATGTATACAAAATGGTGTCGTCTGCATAGAGGTGGATCTGAGAGTCACCAGCAGCAAGAGCGACATCATTGATATACACGGAGAAAAGTGTCGGCCCAAGAATTGAACCCTGTGGCACCCCCATAGAGACTGCCATAGGTCCAGACAACAGGCCCTCCGATTTGACACACTGAACTCTATCTGAGAAGTAGTTGGTGAACCAGGCGAGGCAGTCATTTGAGAAACCAAGGCTATTTAGTCTGCCAATAAGAATGCGGTGGTTGACAGAGTCGAAAGCCTTGGCCAGGTCGATGAAGATGGCTGCACAGTACTGTCTATTATCAATCGCGGTTATAATATCGTTTAGGACCTTGAGCGTTCTTACTGGTTGGTAGGTGATCAAATACTTATGTCATGCAATAAAATGCAAATTAATTACTTAAAAATCATACAATGTGATTTTCTGGATTTTGGTTTTAGTTTCCGTCTCTCACAGTTGAAGTGTACCTATGATAAAAATTACAGACCTCTACATGCTTTGTAAGTAGGAAAACCTGCAAAATCGGCAGTGTATCAAATACTTGTTCTCCCCACTGTGTGTATATATATATATATATATATATATATATATATATATATATAATATAATTATTGTAAAATTAACTGTGTCCATAATCAAATCAAATCAAATCAAATTTTATTGGTCACATGCGCCGAATACAACAGGTGCAGACATTACAGTGAAATGCTTACTTACAGCCCTTAACCAACAGTGCAATTATTTTAAACAAAAAAAGTAAGAATAAAACAACAACAAAAAAAGTGTTGAGAAAAAAAGAGCAGAAGTAAAATAAAGTGACAGTAGGGAGGCTATATATACAGGGGGGTACCGTTGCAAAGTCAATGTGCGGGGGCACCGGCTAGTTGAGGTAATATGTACATGTGGGTAGAGTTAAAGTGACTATGCATAAATACTTAACAGAGTAGCAGCAGCGTAAAAAGGATGGGGTGGGGGGGCAGTGCAAATAGTCCGGGTAGCCATGATTAGCTGTTCAGGAGTCTTATGGCTTGGGGGTAGAAGCTGTTGAGAAGTCTTTTGGACCTAGACTTGGCACTCCGGTACCGCTTGCCGTGCGGTAGCAGAGAGAACAGTCTATGACTAGGGTGGCTGGAGTCTTTGACAATTTTGAGGGCCTTCCTCTGACACCGCCTGGTATAGAGGTCCTGGATGGCAGGAAGCTTTGCCCCAGTGATGTACTGGGCCGTACGCACTACCCTCTGTAGTGCCTTGCGGTCGGAGGCCAAGCAGTTGCCATACCAGGCGGTGATGCAACCAGTCAGGATGCTCTCGATGGTGCAGCTGTAGAGGTTTTTGAGGATCTGAGGACCCATGCCAAATCTTTTTAGTCTCCTGAGGGGGAATAGGCTTTGTCGTGCCCTCTTCACGACTGTCTTGGTGTGTTTGGACCATGATAGTTTGTTGGTGATGTGGACACCAAGGAACTTGAAGCTCTCAACCTGTTCCACTACAGCCCCGTCGATGATAATGGGGGCGTGCTCAGTCCTCTTTTTTTTCCTGTAGTCCACAATCATCTCCTTTGTCTTGGTCACGTTGAGGGAGAGGTTGTTGTCCTGGCACCACACGGCCAGATCGTGTGGTGCCATAAGGTGTAGATAGTAAGTATAGACCGGAAGTAGAGGCCTGGGCATTGTTGTTCACTAATTTACTCCAAGTAGGGAAAGGATGGCGGGGTTGAAAAGTAATAAAGGGGAGTATATATATAAAAAACATGGGGGATTGGAAGTGATGCAGACAATTACATTGATAGAAGTTACAATCTATCTGCAATATTAAGCTGATCCACCCCCCCCCAAAAAAATACAATAAAATAATAAAAATAAAAAGAACTGCTGCTGCATAACCGTCACACTGATTTGCTGCATATAACAGAAAGGCTTTGTGTAGTCCGGGGCTGCTAGAGCCGGGGCAGACTGCATTTCTTGTTTTAACGTTTCAAATGCAGTTAAGGCATCATTCGACCAATCAAGGTTAGCCCTAATGTTTAGTTGCCCAGCACTTCTCATAAGTTCTCGTAGAGGGGCTCTTTTGACAGCATATTCCTCTATCCAGTCAGAGCTGAATCCTGTCATCCCTAAAAACGTCATCATTTGGGCAACTGTTAGCGCTACATTGCTGATGCCTTCTAATTGTCCTGGTGCTATTGCCTTTGTACCATGAGCTACTGTCCGTCACAGATCTTAAACTTGAAGCTGGCAGTATTGGAGCTTTGTTTTCGATACCTTGTGTCCCCCTTCCGCTAGTCTTGTCAAGACTTTCATGGAATCGGTATGAAATTGTTCCAAGGAGGGAGCACAGATTAGTAAATCATCCACATATTGAATCAATGTTCCCTCGAGTATCAATTCCTCAAGGACCTGATTAAATACGTGGGGTGAGTGTTTAAACCCCTGTGGCATGTGTGTGTATGTGTACTGCTTGCCTTTGTATGTAAATGCAAACAGATGTCTACACTCTTCTTCCAGGGGCACACAAAAAAATGCTCCACATAGATCTATTACTGTAAAATACTTTGCTTCCAGAGGAACATTGGTCAGCAGCGTGTGGGGATTTGGCACTTCAGCAGTCTTGCACTATGTCATTTACTGCCCTCAAGTCATGTACCAACCTCCATTTCTGTTTGTCTGCTTTAAGGACTAGCAACAGAGGTGTGTTACAGCAACTCTGCGTCTCTATTTTATTAATCCTTCAATTGTCTTGCTTATGCCTTCTTCTGCCTCAGGTTTCATGTGATACTGGGCTTTCCAAGGAGGCTTTGCATCTGTTTTTTTCCCCTGATGTATATGGGACTAGCTGATTCTACCAGTCCCACATTCTGTGTCATGCTGTGACCATACCTTGCTAGGTATGTTCTTTTCCATTTCTTGTCTAAGACTCTCCACTGGAGTTATTGCTTCCCCTAGCTGAACTTGTTGCCTAGCTGTAATCTCTACCTCCTGTGGGTCACCGGTCATTACTGTGGTATAGCCATTTACAACAATAACAATGTCTACACTGTATTTCTGATCAATTTGTTATTTTAATGGACAAAAAAATAAAGCAAGGACATTTCTAAGTGACCCCAAACTTTTGAATGGTAGTGTACATTCACTAGTGGTGGTGTGGGTTGTACTTGGGCCTGTGGCATAGGGGGCAATTGTGGCCCTCCGGAGGAGACCGCGGCCACCAGCCCTACTTCTGCCGTGGGTGCGGTTACTGGAGCTTGAACTTTTTTATTTCCTTTTTTTGTCAATTCTTCCCTGTTCTGTTCGTCTTTTCTGTATTTTTCCACTGCATGGATTACATGGTCACAGAATTATTTGTGTGACTTTGAAGTTAGTCCCACCACATCCTCCAGCCTGCGTCTCACCGGCTGGGGCATGGCCTCTACAACAGAATTACCCTTCTGGATCCCGTTCTGTCTCCAGCCTCCATCGTTTCAGCTGTCCATTTAGATAGACAGCTGGGCGCTCTGTTTCTCCCATCGCTTCACCTTTCAGGGACTTGGGGTCAATCCTTGCCGGGTATTCCGCTCTCAGGGCCCGCCAAAATCCAGGGCAGTAGGTGTCAACTTCCACTCCATCCCTCAGCGGATCTCCCACCGCCATTCTCAGGCCGCTGGCACACGGTACATCCTCCATCTTTGCCATTCCCACCATCCTTGCCAACAGTGCCTTCAGATCCCCCACAGCCAGTAGTTTCCCCATAGTTTCTTCCTCAAAGGTTCTTATCCACTTGCCCGACCCATCATGTATATCCGGCAAGCGGGCGACCAATCCTTCCAGGTCCTGCGATCCCCAAAGGACATAATGCCCTTGCTTTTCAGGTTTTTTCAGCATTCTCCTATTCCACAACCTTCCCTCTTCTCTTTGTTTAAAATATAGTGTTTCCCTTAAATTAGCTGATGCACCTTCTTCTTCCCTTTCTAGCTCTCTGAGGTCCCGTTCTCTGGACATACTATGTTCTTTTTCCTTTTTCTCTGTTTCTTTTTCCAGCCCTCTTTTCAGTTTTATAAATTCTTCTCTGTATGCAGGGTATCTATCCCCCAGGATTTCTACCGCTGTTTTACTAATTTCTGCTGCCTGTATTCTTGGACTCCCCACTGCCAACCTCAAGTGTGATTCTTTTTCTGTATTTGGTTTTATAGTTACCAGTATTTTCCTTAGTGTCAATCTAGTAACTGCCTGTGGTTTCAATATCACTGGTCTTTTGTTTACTGTCCACTCTACTGTCTTAGTACCACTGACATTTCTATATATGGGTATTTTATTTGTTGTCCAGTAACTCCTTTTCCTCTTTCAAACCCTTCCTGCTCTCCTATGTCCAGATATAATTATACCTGGGTGTCTATGGGTACTACTATAAAGTGTAAGGTTCTTGCCTGTGCTAATTCCTCAAGCGTCTGCCCTATCCGTCCCACTGTCCAATTTCTTCCAATTATGTTTCCCCAATTTACGTATGGCCACTCTTCTCCTACTTCCTCTAGATTCCGTATCTCAGTTTAACTTCTCAACAGATAATTTTTATTTCCCTCCGTTAAACTATATCTTTCAAGCAAATCTTCGTATTCTGATTCTCTCCAAAAATTTGTTTTTATTCCTTTAGCTTCCTGTAATATCCGTACTGTCCTCTGTTCCCTAGTTTCGTCTTGCTCTGCCATTCACTTCCCTACTGGTAGTCTGTCCAACCTCTTGATTCTCCCAACCACAATGCAGTTATTGTAAATGTGTGCGTTCATCTTTCTCGTAACACACTTATCTCTCCTGATTACCACCACCTTTTTGTAGCTAATCTCAAAAACCGCCTTTTCACTTTTATTTTCCCTATTTCTAGACCATTCGGTAGCTTATAGCTTTCTACTCTCAGTATTTCAATGGTCATTCGTGCATCATTCACACTCCTTTTTCCTAGTGCGAGACTGGGCACGTCCTCCCTACTGGGTCACACTCAAGTCACGGTCCAGGAGAGGTGCGCGTCCCCTTCCCACCCAGAACAGGAGTTCCTTTCACACTCACTTGCACTCTCACACTTCCACACTTTCCTAAGCGACCTGCACATTCAGCCCTTTCGTGATACACTTCCTCGACACAAAAAACGGTATTATACAGGGTTTTTGCCTGTCTGTGCAGCCCTCTGATGATACACTTCCTCAACACACCAGAGCGGTGTCCGCAGGACTTTCTTTCACGTGACCCTACCTAGGGATTTTTACTGTTGCAACCATCAAGGCTTTTATTCCTTCATTGTTTTGCATGCATTGTTTGAACCCAAAAGCTCCCAATTCATATTTTTCAAGTTCTTAAATTTGGAGAGACCTACTTGGTGTCCTGCTGCTGAGGCCCTGGAGCGAACCACACAAACTCTATTCTAATAAGCAAGAACTTTGCTTACCTTTTTTAGTGGCCACTTGTTTGTGTAGTTCGTCCAAGCCGTCCACAGCTGCAGATTTTTTTACCATTCTCTGTCCCTTTTTGCCAATCGTGTTCGGTGACGCCAAGATATGTCGTGGAAATACTTCTCAAAGATATCTCTCAGACACTGGAGCTTGTGAGTTCAGAATATACTTTATTACAAAGTAACAACCCGAGCTGGTCCGCGGAGCAACTGCCAGTCCCAGACTTTGAGCTCTCTTTTTATACATGTGGTCCTCTGTAGCTCAGCTGGTAGAGCACGGCGCTTGTAACGCCAAGGTAGTGGGTTCGATCCCCGGGACCACCAATACACAAAAATGTATGCACGCATGACTGTAAGTCGCTTTGGATAAAAGCGTCTGCTAAATGGCATATTATTATTATTATTATTATTATTATTATTATTATTATTATACAGCTTCATCTTTTCATATCATATCGGAACCCCCTCTTTATCCAAATAGCCACCCTCCCTTGACCTTGAGCCACTATGGTTTCTTTGTCTAGCCTCTTTCCTGTCTATGCCCATGTCTGCTTGGTTTCCCGTATTCTTGCCTGACTCTATTGGTGGCGTGATAAAGACAGTTCCTTTAAAAATAATATACATACACACCTGATGATAATTATATAGTACATTGATTACTGCAGTCACAATGTGCTTGTCCAGTAATGCATCTGGATTACAACATATGTTTCATAATATGTTTCATACATCATATGTTTCAAAATATGTTTCATACATATAGTACATTGATTACTGCAGTCACAATGTGGTTGTCCAGTCATGCATCTGTAGGCCGTCATTGTAAATAAGAATTTGTTCTTAACTGACTTGCCTAGTTAAATAAAGGTAAAATAAAAAATAAAAAATCATAGACAGGTGTAGTCACTAATCCTCTTTTACACCCATAATAATAATAATAATAATAATATGCCATTTAGCAGACGCTTTTATCCAAAGCGACTTACATTCATGTGTGCATACATTGTTAAGTATGGGTGGTCCCGGGGATCGAACCCACTACCCTGGCGTTACAAGCGCCATGCTCTACCAATTGAGCTACAGAGGACCACGAGTCTGCTTATTGTTAAATGATTTTATAATATAAGGAAAAATACCTATAACAACAGTGGTAGGCCTGATCACCGACAACGATGAGACAGCCTATAGGGAGGAGGTCAGAGACCTGGCCGTGTGGTGCCAGGATAACAACCTCTCCCTCAACGTGACCAAGACAAAGGAGATGATTGTGGACTACAGGAAGAAGAAGAGGACCGAGCACGCCCCCATTCTCATCGGCGGGGCTGTAGTGGAGCAGGTTGAGAGCTTCAAGTTCCAATAAACTATCATGGTCCAAACACACCAAGACAGTCGTGAAGAGGGCATGACAAAGCCTATTCCCCCTCAGGAGACTGAAAAGATTTGGCATGGGTCCTCAGATCCTCAAAAACCTCTACAGCTGCACCATCGAAAGCATCCTGACTGGTTGCATCACTGCCTGGTATGGCAACTGCTCGGCCTCTGACCACAAGGCACTACAGAGGGTAGTGCGTACGGCCCAGTACATCACTAGGGCCATGCTTCCTGCCATCCAGGACCTCTACACCAGGCGGTGTCAGAAGAAGGCCCTCAAAATTGTCAAAGACTCCAGCCACCCTAGTCATAGACTGTTCTCTCTGCTACCGCACGGCAAGCGGTACCGGAGAGCCAAGTCTAGGTCCAAAAGGCTTCTTAACAGCTTCTACCCCCAAGCCATAAGACTCTTGAACAGCTAATCAAATGGCTACCTGGACTATTTGCATTGTCCCTCCCCCCCACACCTCACCCCCTCTTTTACGCTGCTGCTACTCTCTGTTTATTATCTATGCATAGTCACTTTAACTCTACCTACATGTACATATTACCTCAATTACCTCGACTAACCTATGCCCCCGCACATTGACTCTGTACCGGTACCCCCTGTATATAGCCTCACTACTGTTATTTTACTGCTGCTCTTTAATTATTTGTTATTTTTTACTTTTTTTTCTTAAAACAGCATTGTTGGTTAAGGGCTTGTAAGTAAGCATTTCACTGTAAGGTCTACACCTATTGTATTTGGCGCAGGTGACAAATAAAAATTGATTTGATTTGACTCAGGGCTGGCAGGGGGCCAGCCTCTCCTGCAGTGCCACTCTCAGACGGTAATTAACACGGTGCCCATGCCAAGCCCACCATCTTGACAGGGATAAATCCTGCTCTACTACATCCAAGTTTAGGGGAGACCCAAACACACACAGAGCCCCACCTCCATGGGCCAGCTCACCCAATTACCACACACACACACACACACACACACACACACACACACACACACACACACACACACACACACACACACACACACACACACACACACAGAGCCCCACCTACATTGGCCAGCTCACCCAATTACCACACACACACACACACACACACACACAGAGCCCCACCTACAGGGGCCAGCTCACCCAATTACCACACACACACACACACACACAGAGCCCCACCTACAGGGGCCAGCTCACCCAATTACCACACACACACACACACACACACACACACACACACACACACACACACACACAGAGCTCTCCAGAAACCACAGGGGTCTGACTTACAGCACCCAAACACATTCCCAGCTCTTTACGACCACTCTAACTGCTGGCCAGGGGCCTGATTCTCCTACACCCAAACACAGGGGCTTCTCCAACCCTCATGAACAGAGCCATAGACACATTAATTAGACACATTCATATTTAAGGCCTTCCAGTCACGATTTAAAGCAGAAATCATGTGTGACATCTGTCGCTAGAGGTTTGAATGACTGCAGTTGAGTAGTGTTTAAAAATGCATCTGAAAGAATGATTCCTAGCACGCACATCTGCCCCGCCTCTGACACTTCGGTATGGTCACACTGTCAGCGAGCAAGGACAAACATTCGGAGAAGAGAGGAGAGGAGATCAGAGAGGAGAGATCAGAGAGGAGATCGGAGAGGAGAGGAGATCAGAGAGGAGAGATCAGAGAGGAGAGATCAGAGAGGAGAGATCAGAGAGGAGAGGAGAGGAGATCAGAGAGGAGAGATCAGAGAGGAGAGGAGATCAGAGAGGAGAGATCAGAGAGGAGAGGAGAGGAGATCAGAGAGGAGAGATCGGAGAGGAGAGGAGAGAGGAGAGATCAGAGAGGAGAGGAGCTATCATTCAGAAAACATCAGAGTTGTGGCTTGATGGTCCCTCTCTCAGGATTGCTGCCCTGTGTCTCCTAGGATCCTGTGTACAAACGGAGTGGTGACACTTCAGGTGCTAATACACTCCCTTTGAAAGAGGAGAGGAGAGGAGAGGAGAGGAGAGGAAAAGAGGAGAGGAGAGGAGAGGAGAGGAGAGGAAAGGAAAGGAGGAACAGAAAGGAGAGGAGAGGAGAGGAGAGGAGAGGAGAGGGGAGGAGAGGGGAGGAAAGGAAGGAGGGGAGGGGAGAAGAGGGAATGACAGCAGGGAGATAGTTGCACTGGAATGACCTACATCTAAGCTTCCCATACATCTTTTCCTAGATCCTTTGAGTCCGTCCATGCTAGTCCTTGTCCACAATTCACTGCGAGAATCAAGGAAATGCACCGTAATGACTTGGTTCCATACACATTGGGAAAGGCACTTCACATTGATTGAACTTGAATGTGATAAAATGTATCTTCTTAAAGGTTGATTAAGGTCTCCCCTGTCTTTCAGGGAGAGGAGGAGAGCTTCACTCTGAAGTCCTGCACAAGGCGGAAGACGGACTCTATAGAGAAGAGGTTCTGTTTTGATGTGGAGGGTGTAGACAGGTGAGTCATTGCTGCTGTCTAATAGCTTTTTCTTACCCATTCCAACCACAGGGTGGTGCTCACAAGTGTTGCTGGGGCTGAGGCTGTGTCTGAGTGACTAGTGAGAGCTCAACACAGAGGATCTTAATGAGGATTGGCAAGTGCAAAATCCCAGTACACAGCATATTGCCTCAACTTGTCTATTTAATGTCACATTAATTGCAGATGAAGATGGAGAGCAGTTTGAAATGCGTTGTTCAGCAGTAAGCCGTGCCTGTCCTGTACACTAGAAGCTGCCTGGAGACAGACGCTAGAAGGCTTAGTTTTGGAAATGAGGGTGTAAGTTAGATCAGGAATACCATGTGAGATGCCTGCCTCCTCTCCAGGCCAGTCTTAGCAGAGTGTTGTCTGACTGCATATAGAGCAGCAGAGCCTGTGACTCCCTAACGCTAGCTCTACTGTGTCCACTACAGCCTAAGATCTCTCTCCACCATCATCGGCCCATTCCTTCACTCAATCCTCCTCATTTATTTATGGTATTTGGGTGTCCTCTGCCCAGAGTGTGTGTGTGTGTTCGCTAGATGCAGTGTACTGTTGTTGTAACCACATTCCTGTTTAGCAGCATGAAAGTAAAAGCTAGACTCAACATGCTTCAACAGTTCACAAGGACAACCTGAGTGTGAGTGTTAGGCAGAGTGTGCATTATGGTGTGTGTGTTTATGAGTGCGTGTGCGTGGATCCATGTCTGTATATGCACGCATGTGTGTGTGGCGCGCATGTGTGTATGTGTATCAGTGTGTGTGTGTGTGTGGTTTGAAGTAGGACTGTGTTGACAGCTTTATGTGAGCCTGCTGCCAGGGCCAGGTGAAATATGCTAAAGCTGGCCAGAGATGAGCGTAGCTTAATTGGACTTTTGAATAGGGCCAGACCAGGGTGGATTGATAGAGGCCTCAGTCTGTATGGGGATGGTTGTGGTGGGAGCAGCAGGTTGACTTGATGGGGCTAATGTTTTATCACGTCAGAGGACCCAAACAAGGTGAAATATATCCTTCTGTCAATCACACACACATTTGATTAAAGACTGATCTTTGTGTTGTTCATCAGTATATGATATCTTGTTTGTATCTGTGGTGTGTGTTGCAGGCCGGGGGTGATCACCATGCAGGCTCTATCGGAGGAAGACCGCAGGCTGTGGATGGAGGCTATGGATGGGAGAGAACCGGTACGTTGCCACGGTTACACACTCATCCTGTGTGTGCGTGTGCGTGTGTGTCTGTGTGTGTACGTGCGTATATGTTGATAGCCCACCACAGGAATTTGTCGTATGTACAGGATACATATGGTATACGCCATCCAATGAAATGCTTACTGCAGGTTCCTTCTCAACAATGCAACAACAATAATAAATAATAAAAGAATAGGAACATAAAGTAGATGACTCAGTAGAATAGAATAAACATTTTAGCATAAGTATAATACAGGAAGGCACAATTTATAGTACAATATTTACACATTTTTGGGGAAGGGGTGGATTGGGGAGGCAAATTGTGCAGTATTTAGCAATCATAATAAGAGTCTGGTTGCAGCAGTTGTGTGTGTAGCATGAATGTGTGTGTGTGTGTGTGTATGAGTGTATATATGTGTGCTAAGGCCCGTAGAATCACAGCAGGTGGTCAGTCCAGTTCAAGTGTTCAGAAGTCTAATGGCTTGTAGATAGAAACTGTCTCTGAGCCTGTTGGTATCAGACCTCATGCTCCGATACCGTTTGCCCGACGGTAAGAGAGTGAACAGCTGGTGGCTGGGGTGTGTGGGGTCCTTGATGATGCTGCATGCCATCAGGAAGCCACTTGAATCACTAGCAACTTCCATTGATATCAATGTACTGTCCTACTACTCACCAGGCAGGCAGTGTGACGTGTTGTGTACGACACGTTTTATTACAGCATGGTGTACATGGGGATATGTAAGCACAGCCTGTGTTCAGTACACAGATAGGTGTTTGTGACTGGTGGTGGCGGTGGCGGTAAAGCTAAGCGGTGTAACCGTGGTAACTGGGTGTCTCTGTTCCTTCCAGGTCTATAACTTAAACAGAGACAGCCAGAATGAAGGCAGTAAGTGACACATTGGTATTCATTTGCTTTACTCTACCATCTGTCCAGATGAATGCACACTAATAATTGATGGGATTAATTTTCTTCTTTACCTCTGTTTCTCCCTCTCTTTCTCTCTCTACCTTCCCTCTCTCTTTCACCCTATTTTTCTCTCTCTACCTCCCCTCTCTCTATCACTCTCTTTTTCTCTCTCTACCTATCGCTCTTCATCCCTTCCTTTCTCTCTTTACCTTTCCTGCCCCATCCCCCTTCCCTCCCTCTCTCCCTCTTCATCTCACAGTGGTCCAGCTGGACGTGGTTGGCTTCAACGTTGTGAAGAAGTTCATCTATGCTGTGGAGACCAGAGGTATTGAACTAAGGCTTGGCTGCTTACAGCTCTAATACTACTGTACTGTTAATCTGATGTCACTGGTCAGTGTGACTCTTATAGGTCCTAGAAGATCTTTATATATCTCTGTCCTGTTCTGTTCCGTCCCACAGGCATCGATGAGCAGGGTCTGTACAGGATTGTTGGGGTGAACTCCAGAGTGCAGAAACTACTGGGTCTTGCCATGGGTAAGACAGAGAGATATTGGAGTAG